TTGCAGAGGACCAGGGTTTGATTCCCAGCACCCACATGGCAGCTGCGAACCATCCTTAAGTCAAGTTGCAGGGGAATCCAAAGCCCTCTTCTGACCTCCCAGACATTGCACGACACAGGTGCACTCACATACATGCAGGCAATACACTCATACACGTAAAATAAAAATAATAAATAAAATATAAAAAAGATAGATATATAAACTCATCCGAATTTAATAAGGCGACATAAAAAAATTGAGTCACAAATAGTCAAAGGACACAGCAATTACAGAAATAATTTACCTGTTTTATAGTAGAGGAATAGTTATGATTTTTATGATTTCAAAGATGTACAGAATTTTAAGTGATTTTTTGTGATTTGTCATAAAATATAATTTGATGGTGTTTAGATCCCCTCCCCCACCTGCACCTCCCCACTCACCAGACAGGTTTCTTTATGCAGCAGATGGTGATTTTCATAGGTAAGTTTTTTGTTTTTTTGTGGTTTTTTTTCTTATTTGATCTCTCACTTTTTCTTTTTTAGAAAAAGCATTTCATTGCAGCTTTAACATACTCATTAACCGTTTCCAGAGCAAAGATACATCTCTTTCAAAAGTGGCTATAAAATTTTTAGGTTCGTTGTTGAATTAAGTTACATAATATTGAATTCAGTATAAGCCCTGTAAGACATTGTTTCTTACAGAAAGACTCATTGTTTTTGCTAATAACACTGAGATGTTTTCACATGCATCTCTAATCTCTATATATCCAATCATTACTAGTCACAGTCAGTTGTTTTCTGAGCTACTTGGCATCTGAGCATGATCTGTATGTATCTGATTATTACTAGTCATAATCGGTTGCACTTGGACCCTCGGCACCTGTGTGTGTCTATGAAGTCATTGGGTAGATTTCAATGGTAATGTTTATCACCTCTACTAAATAATATGATGTAAATTTTTATGCTTCCTCCTCAAATATAATTCATTTTTTAAATCTGTTGATTTGTGTGTGTGTATGTGTGTGTATATCACACAGAACATCCCAAACCATCCTATTCAACTGTAAACCCACTTCCCAGATGCACCCTTCCATAGCATCCCTCCCCCCACTAGAGCCCTTATATTCTGTTATCCCTGCTACTGTCCGCTGTGATGTTGTCACCCCCAGCCGTTCCCCAGTACTTGTCCATCTGGTGAATCTAGTCAGCCTATCTAGAGGTCTTTGTTTTAGGAGGGTCAGTTGTTCCTCATCTATCAGCAATCAGTTGTCAATATTCCTTTAGATAAGATTGGGGTCTGCTGTTCATTTTCCCAGTTCTATGCTGGGTTACAATCTGGGAGTCCCTTGGGTCACCCTGGCCAACAACCCAAAAGTTGTTTTAATATTGTATATCCATTAAAAAGGAATGTCTGTATACACTGGCATTACAGTGTATACAGTCCAATCTAGTGCTATCAAACAAGCACATGGGTGAATAAGATTTCTAGTGTAATGTCATTTATATAAAATATCCAAGATAAATAGACAGAGCCACCAAACTATGGGAAGAATCCTGTACAACCACTCTGTCTGTAGACTACTTTTCTATCTGTGTAACTCAACATTAATATAAAAATTAGTATTTTTTTTATCACTGTCACTGATATTTCTTGTAAGCTGAATACATTGTCTTTCAAATCGTCTCCTCCATAGCACATCCCTCCAACCTTGGAATCCTTGACACGCTCCACCCTGCTGTGCCTGTCTGCCATTGGCATGATCTCCTATGCCACACCCGTGTTCCTCGTTGCTCTCGTGCCCCTGGGAGTCGCCTTCTACTTTATCCAGAAATACTTCCGAGTTGCCTCTAAGTACGTAAAGTGGCGTCCTCATTTCTGAAAGCCTGTAGATTTGATTTACTAAAAACTGTATTTGCTGTGGTATATTTTTTTCAAACTAAGTTGGATAATTTAGAAATGCAACTAGCTCATAGCCCACCAAAGACTTATGTTTCGGTTGGAAATCTATTATAATTCTTTCTATAATTGGTTGTCTGGTCCTTTCTAGCCCTGCACATATGTTAACATGTCCTTAGCTTGTCAATAATTTGTCTATTGACTTCTTTTTCTGTAGCCTTTGCCAGGCCTTTCTTTCTTTGGTTTTCCTGCTGAATGTAACAGTGACATAAATCAAACATAGTCATAAAAAGTAAGCAATTTAGAACCATTATATTCCAAAGTAGGAAAAGGGTTAAAAATAATAAAACCCTTTAAATACAGGGTCTGGAATATTAGAAGATGTGAAAAAAATTGAAGAGGTAAATCACTGATGACCATGAAGTAAGATAATTTTGAATTCCTGACAGGAGTGCCATCATTTTAAGAGACCTGAAAATTTTGGTTTGCATCATTTTCCAAACACTTGACAACCCAGACAAATAAATAAAGATAGCCGTGAACTTTAGATTTTTCTATTACAATAGGATTTATGGTTTCCTATGAAGTTGAAAGATTAATGAACTATAGTATCAGCCACTTTACTCTCCAGTCTAAGTTTGGAGCTCTCCCGTGTGTAGAACTGTGCTTTGACATTGCAAGGACCTGTTTATTTCAACACTCAGTAAACATGCATTATACTGCTATAACTGTATAAAGCCATGTAGATAACAAAAACCTGTTCTCAAAGAAACCCGTCTCTGTTAAGATGAAATATATGTAAAGTGTTTATAATGTGTGGATTAAGCAAGAGTGAAAGGCAGAAACTGAGTTTAGTTAGAAAACTGAAAACATTTCAGATGATGGAGAAGATGAAGGCAGGTCCGGGCAGAGGAGAAGAAAAGGGACGGGCTTCGGGGGGTCCTCTGAACACATGTAGCTTGCATAATTTTAAAGATTTTTCTCCTGGAGTTCAGTTAGTGTCATTCACATGTTGAAAATATGTATTAATTTGTTTTTTTATCCTTCCTTCTTCCTCCCTTCCTTCCTTCCTTCCTTCCTTCCTTCCATCCTTCCCTCCCTCCTTCTGCCTTTCCTCTCTCTGTGTCCTTCACCTCTCTCCCTCCCTCCCTCCCTCCTTCCCTCCTTTCTTCCCTCCTTCCTTCCTGTAGCAAATTCAGACCAAAAGGAAGAACCTGACATCACGTTCAGGTTCTTGTTTCTTCTTTTTGTCTGATGCTGTGAGCAAAGAGGCCTGACTTCTCTCGTGGCTGTTGTCTGTTCTGCGGTCAGCCTTGACTGTCAGTGCTCACACTGTCCTCAGACATTTGTATCTTACTGCAAACACATAACTCATTTGAGCCTACTTTTGCCATTTATCGAGATAAACTGGGTGCAAAGCTTAGGCAAATATTCCCATTCCACTACAAGTGTAAATGGTGAGTGTTGTTCATAAAGACCAGCCCACGTGATCTGTTCACATTAATAGCGACTTTAATAGAGCTGATGGTTATTTTTAAGGGATTAATGTTGATAACAGATTTAGCAACTGTTCTAGTCTGGCTATTCTCATTTGAAGTCAGGGAGATGAACTCATATATAAAATCTCACAGGCACAAGGGTTCTTTTGGATGTCTCTGGGGCTCACCCACAGGGAAAAGCTCAAGCCCTACAGCAGACTATTTTTGTATACATCAAAGGGAACTGAAGTGGGGAAAGAACATGACGTTTGGACCTCTGAAGTCCCAGGTCTAATGGGTGTTTGGTTGCTTGTGTATTTCTTACAAGCGCACAAGATCAAAAATGACAGCCCTGTAAACAAAGACTGTTCCTGTTGGATGTTCTTTTCAGCACTGACCTCAATGTAGTGACCATCTGTGGCTGGCTTCAGCTGCACCAACAGCCATGTGTTTTATGTTTAAAAAACAAGAGACTTCACATTCCTTCAACTTACCCCATCTCCCCTCTGTCTTCCCCTCCTGACGTTTGTCATTTGTGAAATGAGCAAGTCCATCTCAACCCCCAAGACCTCAAGAAGGGGCAGAAAAGAACAGGAAAATGAGAAATTCTTTCAAACAATTGGTTCAGCTCTTAGCCCGTCTTCTAGAAATACAAGCTTCTATGGCTTAAAAAAAGATGCTGAACCGGGTGTGGTGGTGCAGGCCACTTGTCCTAGCTCTAGCAAGGCTGAGGTAGGAGCATCATTTCAAGTTTGAGGCTAGCCTGGGCTATAGAGTGAGATCCTGTTCTTAAGTAAATTTTTAAAAATTTGAAGTCATGAGTCCACATCTTTGTGATAAGGGTCAGATTAAGGTATTTCTACTTACTGAATAGTTTATGAAGATATGTACACATGTGTATGCATATACAAATATAGACATACAGTTCTTTAGGGGAAGCAGTCAACAGAAGTTCCATGAAGGGATGGATTCAATTCACTGTGGCCAGGATTTATGCAAACGATCAAATCTCTTCCTCTGAATCTCTTCCTCTCTGTCCCCCAACGCTGCTAAATAGCACTGTTGTACTTTTATCCTAAGTTTGCTCTTCTTGAAACAGCCAAATTATGTTTGACCTTAAGCAGAGCTGGTTCATCCCTGTAGCTTACAAGGCCACTTCTAGCCAACTCACCATCAGCATGCCGTCCTTTTAAATTACTTAGCATCTTAGTGATGGACTCTTTCACGGACTATCCAACAATCCCTCCCCTCTCAACCACCCTTTCTCTGTTCCTTATATTTTTGGCTAGGCACAGCTCTGGTCATTTCGCTTTTGCTCTTCAGTGACACCTTTCTCAGTCTGTTATGAGCCCGCTACAGTCCAGTGCCGCACTTATAAGGCCGTATCCTTGAGCTGGCCACAAGCCTGTCGCCCCAGCACTTGGCAGGTAGAAGCAGGAAATCAGTTCAAGGTCATCCTTGGCTACATAGTGAGTTCAAGGCCTGCTTGGGTCTCAAAAAAATAAAATCCCCCCCAGGATAATAACAATAACAAGACCATATCGTTTACAGAATTATCTCCCACTTTCACGCCCATTCCAATCAAGGTTATTTCATTATATTTTGTCGTGGTAACTTCTTTACTCTAGCACTCAATTAACAAAAACTTCAGCAACTTATAGTATGAGGAAGGAAAAGATGGATGTGTGAGGATTACAGGGTCCAGGAGACAGGTAACATGTCTACAAAACAGTCTTATGTCATAGCTAAAGTTCACTGCTACAGGACACAGCATGAGCAGTTAACGTACACCTTGGAGATAGGTGGTTTTCTATTTGTACAGGTAACACTTAGACCAAACTTTTAGCATGATGAGGACTTCAGTGAAATAGGCAGAGCTGAGTGGTGGCCTCCGAACCTGGAGGCAAGTCACCCATATTTTTGCCTTTCGCTCTGTCCTAGGGACCTCCAAGAACTTGATGACAGCACCCAACTCCCTCTGCTTTGCCACTTTTCAGAAACAGCTGAAGGACTCACCACCATCCGGGCCTTTAGGTAAGTAAACACCTTTGGATTGCTGATAGGGGAATTGCACCATCCATGAATGTTTATCAACAAATAATAAATAACTGCCATTTTGGAGGCCTACTGTGTCCCTGGCAGGGAACAATGAAACAGGAATAACAATCTGTGAATATAAGTTATTATAGTTGATTGTCTGAAATTGCAAAACATATTTTATTTATTATTTTTATTTTATCTGCATGAGTGTATCGCCTGCATGTGTGTAAGCACACCCATGTTGTGTAGTACCTGAGGAGGTCAGAAGGGGGCATCAGATCCCCCTGGGACTGGAGTTACTGGAACTGGATGGTTGTTAACTACCATGTAGGTGCTTAACCATGTGGGTGAAAAGCAAACCCAGGTTCTGCAAGAACAGCCAGTGCTCTTAACTGCTGAGCCATCTCGCCAGCCCCACATCATCTGAAGTTTTACGAAGACCAAAGAATGAAGAATGTGGTAGAGAGAATTAGCTGTTTGGTTTAGACGAGGTTTTCAAATTCCTAAGCTTGTTTTCTCATCTGTGAAACTGGAAATCAGTCTTGCTTATTGTAGCCACTCACTATAATATGTGTAAAGAATTAACCACAGCAGCTGTTACAGTTCTCAATAACAACTTAAGATAAATTTATGAATAATGATAATACTAATCCTAACAAGAATACCATTACACAAAGTTATTTTAGAATTTAATCCAAACAGGCATGGTGGTGCTTGCCTCCAATCACAGCACTCGGGGTGTAGGCAATTAGGAGATCAAGGACAGCCTGGGCTACTATGTAGCAATTTCAAGTCCAGTGGAAACTATAAGAAATCCCTATCTCAAAAAATTTTAAAAAACAAGGGGCTATAAAGATGGCTCAGTGATTAAGAGCACTGACTGCTCTTTCAGATGATCCAGATTTAACTTCAAGCACCCACATGGTGGCTAACAACTGTTTGGAACTTCAGTGCCAGGGGCTCTGACGACCCTCTTCTGGTCTATGTGGCTCTGCACACACATGGTGCAGTTACATACAAGCAGGCAAAATCATACACAAAAATTAAATAAATAACCCCCCCAAAATTAAAAAACCAACAAAATGAACAAAAAAACTTAACCCATGTTTTTCAGTATCTATAAACAGTAATAAACCAGGCTTCTGGTAAAGAATTAGCTTACCCCTCAAGAAATTCCTGACCCCCACTTTCCCATCCAGGTTAGATCATGACACTGACCTTAATGGGTATTTCCTTTGATCTAGAAAAATGACATTTTGAAACATTGTATCTTTCTTCAACTCTATTGCATATATGTATTGACTTCAATAAGAGATTTCTCTAACCCAAGAAGTTTATTTTAAGAATGTAAAATTGGGTCACAGAGTAGACTATTAAGACACAATTTTCCACAGCATTATTTCTCACAGGATTTCTACCTAAAGTTATGCAAGTTTCACTATACAACATCTGTGTGTCGAGCCCCCGTTTGTTTTCTGATTATGTGGTGTAATGCCTTTTATTGAGGATGTCAACATTACTTATCAGTACTGAATATAGATATTGACATGTGTATTCTAATAGCAGTCAGCGGGTGCCATTAATAAATATACCATACTAAAAATTACCGTTGTTGCCAAGCAAGTCCTTCCCAATTAGCTTATGCAAGAAATGTGTATTTGAATAAGGAACATATACCCAGCACTGTTCTTAATGTAGATGAATAAAGATTAAATACTCATGGCCATTTTTTTCCACCCCAACTGCACATGGGATCCTTCACTTTACCTGCCATGTGGTCCTGTTCACTTCCTTTGGGGTATTTGTATGTTTTAAAATGTTTTATTTATTAATTTTATTTTATGTGTATGAGTATATTGCCTGCATGTATATAACTACACCTGTGTTATGTAATGCCCATGGAGGTCAGAGGAGGCCATCAGATCCCCTGGAACTGGAGTTATGGATGGTTGGTGCCTGCCATGTGGGTGCTGGGAGCCAAACCCGGTCCTCTGCAGGTGCAACCAGTGATCTTAACTGCTGAGCCATTGCTCCAGTCCCTGTATGAGTGTTTTAAATTATCTGTTTTGTAAAAAAATTATCTGCACGTTAATTATCCGTTTGAACTTGACTATAAGGCCTACAAGAACAAGGTTTTGATGCTGTCACTGTTATTTTGGAAATGCATATGATAGTTAAGTTGATAATGCGCCAGCATAGGGTCTGTCCTAAGGCGTTCACCACACAGTAGGAGACAGAGTCTAAGAAAGAAAATATGACACTACAGGAACATGTCTGGAGATGTAACCACAAGAAACAGCCATGACAGAGGGTAGGCCTGGCACCTTGCTTCAAAAGGAGATGCTTAACTGAGCAATGAACCTTTGAAAGAATAGTTGGGCTAGAAGACAAAGGATCAGAGAGCTGGTAAGAAGCGGGAAAAAGCACAACAAGGTCTATTTTATGCAAAAATCAAGTCTAGCATTGAATGAACACAGACTAAATAAAAAGACGATGGTTATCACAACAGACCTTGAAAACACAGAAAGCACTACATAAAGGATACTGGGTAATTTTCTTTAAGGAACTTATTCTTTCTATGTTGTGGAATCACTGAAGAGTTTAATGAGAAGTTGGAACCATTGTATTCATTCGAATAGCTCTGATATATCAGGATGAATCAGGTGTGTGAGGTGAAAGGCAAGGAAATGCAGGATGCCGCGACCGTGTTTGAGCCGTGTGGGCTCTAAGAAGCATCTCTATCGTGGACCTTAATTCAGTCTTGTCCTCCTCTTCCCAAGACATCAGAGGTGTAACAAGGGCAAATGCCATCTCATGGGAGGGAGGGGCTTCATCTTCCCATCGCGTGAGAGGAATTCAGACTAGCTGAGAAACTCAACCATGTAAGAAGGGGTGAAAGCTCAGGATAGTGGTGAGAGTTAGTCTTTAATCACCTCAGTTTTTAACAATGAGGAATTACAACAGGAAGGTGCTGACTGGGAGCCAGACAAGGAGAGGACATTGGGGTTAACCGTGTGCGTTAAGAAGACATTGAAAGGGCCATAGGCACCATGAAGCCACTGATGCTCTTAGCAAGAACAGAAACGGTAAAGTTAAGGAGGGATGAGTCAGAATTCGGAAGGTTGAGGGTTAAGTAGAAATGGAAACACTGAGTTGCAAGGGGAGGCTTCTTCTAGAAGCTTTGCTGAGGCAGGAGAAGTGGGGAAGGGATTAAAAGGAACAGTTAACTGATTTTTCATCTTTTAAGATGAAAGTGTGCTAAATATTTGGGGTTTTTTCCTTCCTTCCTTCCTTCCTTCCTTCCTTCCTTCCTTCCTTCCTCTTTCTTTCTTTCTTTCTTTCTTTCTTTCTTTCTTTCTTTCTTTCTTTCTTTCTTTCTTTCTTTCTTTCTTTCTTTCTTTCTTTCTTTCTTTCTTTCTTTCTCTTTCTTTTTCTTTCTTTCTTTCTTTCTTTCTTTCTTTCTTTCTTTCTTTCTTTCTTTCTTTCTTTCTTTCTTTCTTTCTTTCCTTCTTTCTTCTTTCATGTCTTTGTAGCCCCAACTGACCTGACCTGGAACTCCCTATGTAGACCAGGCTGGTCCCGATCTCAAAGAATTCCATCTGTCTCTGTCTCCAGAGTGTGGGGATCAAAGGTGCATGCCACCACGCCTGAACTGAGCTAGATATTTTCTAAAGTCTGTTGAGAAGATGTGACCTACAGGCAGGATGGGGACCACTGATGGATCAGATTTCAACAGCAGATGGACAGGGATGTGGCCAAGCAGCCAAGTGGAGAGACTAGCTCTGCTTGAAAAGGATCTGGGTCTGTGTGCCTCTGTGAAGGCAAGGAGGGGGTGTGCAGGGATTCTGGAAGCTGGTTGAGGAGGGACAGGAATCTTTCCGTTCACCGATTCAGCATTTCAGAACCTTCATTTTCTCCCTGGAAGACAATATGGGCAACTCCTGAAAGCGCTGGGGCCAAGAACCAGGGAGAACATCTTGAAGGATTTGAAGAAGATTTAGAATGAGAGAAGAAATGGACCGCTGCTTTGGGTCCAGGAGTTTTATTTTCCTTCTTCACCAGACACACGAGTAGAATGTAACAGGACTCTTGTTAAGCTTACATTGAGGAAAATTCTAGGTAGCTGTGAGAAAGAACGGCGTCATACACGTCAGCTGTCAATGCTTGAATTATAGTCAGAGGAAGCAAAGACAGGACAACTTTATCTGGAAGTATCTTGCCTACGTCTAGATCCAGAATCAATATTAAATACTATAAATAATGACATTTTCCAATCAGAGCAAGAGTTTTTAAAAACATAGTGATAGCCAGGCTGTCACAGATAAGTTCCTAGAATTTTCAGGTTTGGTATTTGTAATCAAGAATGAAGTATGTTCTTTTCCGTCCATGTGTTCCTTTCTCACATTTACCCAGCATCCCCTGGGTCCGGAGCTCTTTTGGAAAGTTTGTGTTTACTGATTAGGCTGTGTTTCCTCCTCCGCACCCAGAGTTCACGGAATATTCACGTGGAGCAGTAAACCTCTCAAGTCATTTACTGTGAAAGTATCACAGCTAAATCAGACTAAGATGTCAGTGACCTTTGCCGTTGCTTTATATATTTTCTTCATCTGACAGAAAATGAAGGTCTAAGAATGTTCAGAAGATGAGCTGGATGTGGATGAAAAGATACAGACTGAGTGTGTCAAAGTTTCCATTAGGAAAACAGAAGGTTTCTTGCCAAATAGAGACACAGAGAAAGAACGTTCACTGCATTCTCACCCTCCCTCCTCCCTGCTGCTGCGGACGGTTGCCAGTTCCCTTACGAACTCTCAGAATATATCAGAAACTATCTTCTACTAAAGCAGGAGGAAGCCCTTCCCGGACAGAGCACATTGTCAGAATCAAGGATTTGATGGTCATCTATTCTACCTTCCTCTCTGTTGCTGAGATAAACACTGTGACTAAAAGTTCTTTGGGTAGAAAAGGCTTTATCTGGCTCGCAGGTTATAGTCCATCATCAAGGGAATCCAAGGCGGAAACTCAAGGCGGGAACCTGGAGGCAGGAAATGAAGCAGAGACCAGGGAGGAGCTCTGCTTACTGGCTGCTCAGTTACCTTTCATATACAGCTCAGGCCCTCCTGCCCAGGGGAGGCACCACTTACAGTGGGCTGGGCCCTCCTACATGAATTAGCAACAGAAAAACGTCCTGACAGACATGCCCACAGGCCAATCTGATGGAGGAAATTCCTCAACTGAGGTTTCCTCTTCCCAGATTTGTCAAATTGACAACCAAAGTGAACCATCACGCCATCTCAAGCATGGCTCACGGGCTTTGGTCCGACAGGACTGCCTTGCGGGGTGTTTACATCATCATGCCCGATAGGGTGATCCCCAGAAGATGCTGGGCTTTCTCACTCCTGTGTTTTCACTCATGTTATTTGGGTACCTACAACGCCTTGCTCATCTGAGAAACCCAGCTTTGTCCCCTAAATCTGTATCTAGACCATCTTCTCTGTGCTCCGGGAAACCTAGCTTAGTCCTTCCCCTCTCCAACCTCCACCTGGATTTCTGCCATTCAGATCCTCCAGTCCATGTAAATCTGCTTCATGTTCATAAGGTCAATATAAGTAGGTCCTGTGCTATATCATCCTTACTGGTTAGTACTGTGTCTCTCTTTGCCAAGACCGTGGACTCCTCCAGGTCTTGTTCACTGTATATCACAAATCTAGCGCAGTGTTTCCCCTGCAGTGTAGAGTCAAGGCTGGCTACATGCAAAGCTACCTGAGCAAGCACAGAACGAGCCTTACACAAACATTTGCAACCCACTCCTCTGTTGCTATAAACCTCACAGCCTCATAAGCCTCTCTACCTTTTATTATTCATTATAGTCACCCCTCAAAAGGTCATCTGGAGGGTGCACATGTTCCTTAGACTGCTTAGTCCCGGGCCACAGTGCTGCCATTCCACACAGCTCCCCCTGGGCATTGCATTTAGGTCAAGGCCACAAAACTCAAAATGGAGTAATGATTTGGCTCTGACTGCTGTATTCTCTGATTGTTGTAGATCAGATGCTGCTGTCTGACACAATTATCTATCTGGTTTGGCACACTGGAAGGATCAAACAGGCTGGAGAGATCTTTATATTGGCCTATATGGACTATGATGATGAGCCAAAAAACTCCACCCAGGACCTCTTCATCCTTTGATGCGAGTCATGAGTTATTTTAAAGTTTTGCAATTTTACTGGATAATTTTCTAGAACTGCAGTGCTCTTTTAGTGAGGAAGAATCACTAGCAAGTTGTCAGATGAAATTTGGTGTTTCCTTGACAAAAGAATAACCTGTAGATGTGGCGTCAGACGTGCTTGTGGCCCCAGGAGCTGGTATCTTCCTTTCAACAAAAATCCTCCAGCATTCCAGCACTCTGTTGCTTCTGTTGGTCAAGGAAAAATTGTGAAAAAAATTATTTTTGTTATTCAGTAAACATTTTTTCAACATGTATCGCTGTGAAATACCTCACATGTTCAAATAGATAAGGCACATTTTCCATCGTGTGTATTCCTTGTACATGTCACAGCCAGGGGAGGGGAATACTCTCAAGCACAAGACACACTTGTGTGAAAGGCTGTTCACAGTTTTGCGTGTAAAACAGTTACATAAAGTTTGACTGGATTATGTTGAAGATCAAGATTAAGCTTCCGTGGATGAGCATCCAAACTATGTATTTCCATTTGTGAACTAACTCTCCTTACAAATAATTCAGACTGTTGGTATGTATAGATCTGATCTAGCTTAAACAGTTGCCATCTGAAAGTCTCTCCTCTACTTCTTAGCACCCCACTGTTCTTTGGTTCTGGAAAGGGCCAGTCAAAACAGATTTTCTAAAAAAAAAATTATTTTTATTTTGTGTGTATGAGTATATTGTCTGCATGTAGGTAGGTGTACCCACATCGTGCAATGCCCACAGAGGTCAGAAAATGGCATTGGATCCGCTGGAACTGGAGTTATGGTCAGTCGTGAGCCACCATGTGGGTTCTGGAAATCGAACCTGTGTCCTCTGCAAGAGAAGCCAGTGCTCTTAACCACTGAGTCATCTCTCCAGTCCCCAAAACAGAAATTTTAAAAGGTTATATTGCCAAGCATGGTGGCACATGCCTTTAATTCCAGCACTTTGGAAGCAGAGGCAGGCATATATCTATGTGTTTGAGGCCAGCTTGGCCTACATAGTAAATTCTAGACCAGTTAGTGCTACAGTGAAACCCTGTTTCAGTACACACACACACACACACACACACACACACACACACACGTATGCACAGTGAGACCCTGTTTCAATACACACACATGCACACACACTCACACACATGCACACACATTCACACACACGCATAAACATAGATATATGTTATAAATGCATGGTTTCTTGTCTCCCCTGGTTTTCATGTAGCTCAACTCTGTGTCATTTGACAAAGTAAAATAAATACCATCAAAAGAAGATAGAATACATTGCATCTCTGTACAATTTATAGTGTTTTTTGTAGGGCCCTTGCAACATAGGTCAGGCCTTGTTTTCATACCCTAATAATTTTATAGAATTACGAAGTAATGTTTAATAAAGATTAGTCATGGGAACGCTTCTCTTCTTAGTAAGCGTGTGAAAACGACCAAATACTTGGCCTCCCGGGTTCTATCTGGAACAGCAGACAGCCATGGCTGCTGTTTATTCTGAATTAGAAATCCACTTACAAGTCACCCCGTCCCATCCGTGTGTCACTCTGCGGTGCTGTGACTGGCTTTTATTGGCTCTCCTGTTGGGTGGCTAACGTCATAATATTCTTTTTTCTGCAGGCATGAAACCAGATTCAAGCAACGTATGCTGGAGCTCACAGACACGAACAACATTGCTTACTTGTTCCTCTCTGCTGCCAATAGATGGCTGGAGGTCAGGACGGTACGTTCATTTCTTGATTTCAAAATGGAAAGCAAACAGAGAAGTAGCCTGAGGCACAGAGGCAGACACTTGTGAAAATTAGCCTTCCCCTTGAGAGTCAGTACTGGTCCCCCCATTTTCTAGACTTAAAATAGCTCGGTTTGTTTGTGTTACAGATGAAATTTATCATGCTGTTTTAGCTAATAGCAAGACAAATAGGCCAAAAAGCAAAAATCATTCTGTGTTCATTATAGTCTCTGGACTACCTAAGTTAATGGAATGGTAAATATTTATATAACATCTATTTTTTTAATAGCAAATTTGAAAAGTGACCACATGCACTCCCTCCCTTCACTGAGCCAGACAAGCTGGGAAGAGAGAGTGATTTCCTCTGTTTGAAGCTAGTGGAGGGTTGTAGTAACACAAAATGTCAACAACGAAGTCATCGGTTACTGTCTCTGTCCTGCTTGACATACGAGAATAAGCACCAGCTTTGGCGCTGTGTGGACTTCACTTGTCAGATCCGTTTCTTTCAGTCCAAGCTCCTCAATTGTAAAATAGGACTAAGAGTATGCACCTCTTGGATGTGTCCAGAAAATAGCAAGGAAGATAGTGTTATTGTCCTAGAAGGCTGTCCGGGGTAATAAACTACCCTGACATAAAGCAACTTAGCTGATAAAGGGATTTATTTCAGTTTACAATCCCAGCCCATCATTGTGGGGAACTTCAAACAGCTAGTCATATCCACAGTCAAGAACAGAGATGAACGCATTCGTGCTCACCCACCTGTTTGCCTGACCTCAGCTAGATTCTACACTCTTACAGGGTTCAGGACCCCCTGCCTAAGAAGCGATGCTTCCCATAATAGGCTGGGTCTTCCCACATCAATTAACTTAAGACAACCTCCCATCAGCCAACCCAGTGTAGACAATCTCTCATTGACACTGAAACTCTTTCCGCATGATTCTCAGACGTGTCGAGTTGACAGTTAAATCTAACCATCATGTGTGCTGGTTGGCAAATGCATATAAAATGTCTTTTGAATGGATGAATGAATCACATGAATGGAAATGTAAACTACCCTGGTAAGTGAGTCATAAGCCAATCAGCTGGACTGTGAAATGGAAGAAAGCTGAGACAGAAGATCTAGAAGAGAAGGAACGTCGTTTACCCCCTCAGGTAGGGGAGATGTGAAGATTCAACTCTGGGTGTAACAATGTAATTTTTCCACATAGTATGCATGAGTCCAGTGCTCTTGGAAGAACTTTATTCTGGCTGATTTTATTCTCTTACCAGATGCGTGCTTTCTTTTAAATCTCAGCAACCAGAGAAGGCAGAAAATAAAGAAAATTTAATAGGGCTAAAATGAATGTGTCCAGGTTCAAGGGTGATCTCAAAATGGATGGATGTGGATTGACATGGGATCTTGGACAACCTGTGGTTTTTAGTTACCATGATTTCTTACTACTTGACAGAGACCCTTTACCACTGTATTAGTGATTATATAAGAACTTACCGAGCAACATAACACAATTATGTCATACAAATTTTTGAAAACATATTGGCTGTTGAAAATAACAAATGAATAAAACCTCCTTCTGGGTGGTTGTGGGGATTGGAAAGTTACAGGACAGAGTTACTTAGGAATTACAGACAACTGAAAGGTAAGTAAATTGTTGTATAGGATTTATAACAAAATGCAATCAGTATTTCTAGACTCCATCCAGGCCATCATTCCTTGCTTTAAGCTTCTGTTTCTTTGCACTTTTTAAAATTTGTATTTTTCTCTAAGGAAAAAACTTTGTATCTGAAACAGTGGAATTGATTAACCAGCTTGATGACTGGATGTTTAGAACCATAAGGCAACACGATAGCAGTTATCCACATGTCTGGTTTTCCTTAACCAGGAAATCAGCCGTGACTTTTAGGAGTCCAAGTACGTTTGCCTTGGACTTGAAATATCTGACTGTGACCTCTGCCCTTTCGCACTTCCGACTGACAGGTTCACGGACAAGTGTGGAACAAGAATCTTTACGCAAACCATATGTTCGATTCTTGGAGCCAAAGGCAAAATATTAGAGCCTAAGGCTGCCAAGAAAGGAAAGAGCTGGACAAATTAGAAAGAAACAGCAGCCAAGCTCAAAGTGGTGTAGTCTGACCCAGCATTTTAACCCTGCACTAAAAGAAATCAAATCTATGAACCTAAAAGAATACCTGTCCTAACCAAAGAAGACTAAAGAAGATACTGAGCACTCAGTAGGGGCAGGCAGCTTTTCTTGAAGCCTATTGGGGAGGGGGTCACAAGCCAATTTAGGGATTCAGAGCCTTAAAGCAAATGTGAGAGAGCTTAAAGCTTGATTCTAGGGCATCCTGTGGCCCTCTGTCCTCTCTTTTTCACTTCTTTCTCAAATATATATATATTTTTTATATATGCATATACTTTAGTTTTAGAGGGAAATTTATTATAGATTTATATGTAGGAGTTTGAGTGACAGCAAGCAAGTGAGAGTGAGAGCAAGAACAAGAGCGAGAGTGGAACGAGAGTGAGAGTGAGAGAGAGAGGAAGAGAAAGAGACTGTTTGAATTAGGCATGGCAGTCAGCTATATGTAGACATTCAGCTAAATGGCAAAGAGGGGAGGGGGACTTAACCCAAAGTACCGGAAAAAGTATGGGCTCCAGTCAGCATCCAGATGTCACTGCTGCTGACAAAATCCCAAAGAGGGGGCTGGAGAGATGGTCCCATGGTTAAGAGCACTGACTGCTCTTGCAGAGGACCCAGGTTCAAATCCCAGCACCTACATGGCAGCTAATAACCATCTGTAACTCCAGCTCCAGGGGATCTGACCCCCTCTTCTGATGTCCACAGGCATTGCGCAACATGGGTGCACTTAAATACATGCAGGCAATACCCTCATACACATACAATAAAAATAATAAAAATTTAAAAAAAGAAAAGAGAGGGAATTCAGAGAAAGTATAGTTTATTGAATTGAAGAATGTCTCTGAGTCTGAACGTAACATGTGCACACACAGGTTTTATTTAGGAACCCTTGGCACTTTCTTCTTTTTCCATTCATGTTTAGAACTGAGACAATCCCCAGGCTGGGGACACGGATCAGTGGATAAAATGTTGCTTGTTATGCAAGTGTGAGGAACAGAATTTGGAGTCCTAGAACCTGAACAGGTGTGGCTCACCTGTAATTCCAGCACTGTAGGGGCAGAGACAGAGGATCTCTTCGGCAAGGGGACTAGAGGAATTGGTGAGTTCTGGGTTCAGTGAGGGACCCTGCCTCTGTAAATAGGCATACATGCACACAAACACACATTATTCTCTTTCCTTGGTTTTATAACTTTCCCTAAGAAGATCTTCATCTGGTCTGCCATATTCATTTCATATTTGTTTTGAGTTGGGAATAAATAATAAAGCCCCTAACACACATCAAAAAAGGATGCGTCTAAAGGATGAAATGACTTGGCTGGTAGACCAGTAGAGGAGCTGCGGCCACCCGGGTTGCTCTGGCAGCCGAGGGGACTGTTTTCCCCAGTGCCCAGTGAAGCAGCCGATTCTGTGTGTCACCAGGGCCCAGCCTTTGAATGTGGCTTACGTTCCTTGGTTCCGTACATGGTTTTCCCTTCATCCCTCTGTGTTAAATAATTCCAGCTCTTCGGCATTGGTGTTTTCATTTGCAAAAATTGTGTAACTCTGTCTAAAGGCTGACTTTCCAAAGCTTCGTCTTGCTATGTGATGAAAGGATAAAAGAAAACTCACACCAAGGAGCCAAAAAGACAGTTCAATCAACACACCATGCTAAAGTGAAGATAGTCTTGAGTCTTTTGGGCAAACTTGCACACAAAACTATTTGATGAAACAGCTCAGAGCTCAAACTTTCTCTTTTTCCAGCTCCCCAGTAGACAGGCATGCAATCAGTCACCTTGTAGATTGAGTCCCTACTAGAATCTCCCCTGTACCCAAGTGTAGAGAAGAGAAATATTCACAGGACTGCTTGGAGGAAATAGATCTGTTTACAAGTCTTTCTTACAAAGAATTGTGATTTTCATTACAGCCCCAAAGTATAGATAGATACCATTAGCTCATTGGAAATCTGACCAGAGGCATCTCTTCTTATTCTCTTCTGGGTGCATTGCATTTAGAAGATCAGCAGAAATTATAATTTAGGGTTGGTGGAAAAAGATAGCTCAGTTGGTGAAGAGCTTGCCTTACAAATACAAGAACCTGAGTTGGATCCCCCAGAACCCACATAAAAAACAGGGCATGCTGGTGTGTGCTTGGAATCCCAGTGTTGAAGGTGAGGACAGGCAGATCCCTGGGGCTCATTGGCCAGTGAGCCTGGCTTACTTGAGTTCTAGCTCAGCAAGAGCCCCTGTCTCAAAAAGTAGGGTAGACAGTACCTGAGGAATACGTATTCCCAGATTGTACACACACACACACACACACACACACACACACACACACACACACACACACATGGGCCTGAACCTAACACAATTAGAATTTAGTGCTATACAAATATATTGGTGTGGTTGGGTCTCCTATGAGAAAGGAAAGCTGTGTACTTAGGGTTATTTCCTGAACGGAGTCTCCCCTTCCAAGGTGCCATTGTGAGAGATGTTTGTTACCAGCTAGACTGGTTAGGATGCATTAGGCCTTAGCAGTAATGTGCTATTTTTGTTCTCTGTGAATTTGTGGTCCTCCCTGTGAATTGTTCCGACCACCTACTTCTGTTTTCTTAATTTATTACCTTTAAGCCATCTTTCTAGCCACGTATTTGGAGAGAAATGGAATGAAGCTAAAAATCACAGGATCACTTTATAACCCATTATGCCTATTCAGTTTAACATGTAGGATGTGGACCATCTGGAACTCATGTGAACTTGTGTATTACCTGTCAATTTCATGTTTCTATGTTGCATTTGTATTTGAAGAGAAATAATTGGAACTTAGTGATTTTTGCTATAAAACACCTTAGTAAATATTTTGCACAAAGAGCTTTGTCCCTTGTGTAGGTCAAGTTAAAATGTTAATCAAACACTGCTGAAATGTTTCTAATTCCTTAGAAAATACATTATTTTATTTTACTTACACAGAGTGTTATTGTTGTTATTGTTTGGGTCAGCTGGCCTGGAACTCACTATGTAGACCAGGTTAGCTTCGAACTCACAGAAATCAACTTGCCTGTGTCTCTCCAGTACTAGGATTAAAGGTCTGTGCTCCATGCTCAGCCTTTATTTGTCTCTTTTAAGTTTTCTTACAGGTTTATATATTATGTTGAGCATATGCTCCCCATACCCAGTCTCCCTCCCTTTTCTCCACCCCCCAACTAGCCCCTTTTGTTCCCTAGATAATTCCACTTCCATTTTTAATCTAATACATACATATATACATAAATACATATGTACATACATGATTTTATGTGACTACATAAAATCTAAGAACCACAAATAAGAGAAGACATGTGATATTTGTCTTTCTGAGACTAGTCATTTAACATGACTGTCCCTAGTTTTATCCCTCTTCCTGCTGACGGTATAACTTTATTCTTCTCTATGAGGGAAAATAATTCCATTGATGAAATGCATTTTTTGAGCAGAGGTATGAACCCAGAAGTTAGCTGGAAGGTATCTCCTTAGCATAACCAAAAGACTCTATGACTAACACTTTCTCAAAGGAAGTATAAAGGAATATTTCTGTGATAAAATAACTTTATTACAAGTCTCAAGTTGTAGGTGCAGCGACTTTCAAGCCTTTATATCTGTTTAAGCTTTAGGAGACTGTATATTTGGGTAATGGTTTCATCTCCTGAACTTTTGTTATAAGATAGACATCAAAAAGCAGTGCAAGGCTGGTTAGAAGGCTCGGGGAGGAAGGGTACTTATTCGTTGCCAAGACTGATGACCTGAATTCAAGTCCTGAGATCCCAATATAGTGGAAGGAGAAAATTGCTTTTGTGTAACTTGTCCTCCAACCTCTACATGTGTGCTGTGGCATGCACACCTTCTCTTGCACACTCTTGCACACAACACACTAAATAAATGAATAGAAACATATGAAGATAAAACCACAGGGTCTCTTTATAACTCATTAAGCCAGTTCAGTTTAACAGGATGTGGATCATGTGGAACACACATTTAATCCCAGCACTTGGGAGGCAGAGGCAGGCAGATCTCTGTGAGATTGAGGTCAGCTGAGGCTACAGGGAGACCCTGTCTCAAAAATAGTAGCAGTAGTAATAGTAGTAGCAATAATCATCATCATCATCGAGACAAAAGAAAAAGCAATGCTTCCCTTTTGTTGAAGTCTTTATAACAGCTGCCTCGAGCATCATCTTTACATATGAATTTAGGCCTATGCTAATTCCTGGACTAATAGTTAATAGTGTCAAATGATCATACTGAAAACTTAAGTCATTTTGAAAACATTATCCATAAGAAAAGGGCCCAGAAGCTGCACACGGGAAGAACTCCTGGCTTGGCCCTCTCCCGCACTCTCTTCATATCCCTGGCTGTCCCTTATGCCACAATATGACTATCTACGTGTCACCAGAAACTAGCTTTGTAATGCAGTAAAGACTGGTCAGAATTGTCATCCAGTTCAATATACCATTTAGTTCTACACCATGTATGAACCCGGGGGATGAATATAGACTATGAAGAGTCCTATAGTGAGATGAATGTGTTTGAGAAGGAGACAGAGATAGAGACAAGACAGAGACAGCAGCACGGAGTCAGAGAGTAACGGTTTACATTTCCTTCTGTTAATTCTCATTTATTTAGAACAAGCGCCTGTTTTGTTGTTCTGGCCTTGTTCTGGTCTAGTCTTGCTGTAACTGCTCTTGGTAAAGGATGCCACAACACAGCATTTTGCATACCTCCATTGAAATAAAAGTAATAACAATTTAGAACTGAATAGTAGAGTCTGTGGCTTGGTTAAGAGTGCTGTTTGGGTTTCAAAAACAAAGGACTCCTAACACTTCTGACAAAGTTATGTGCCTCATATCACAGTTCAAAGAGAGGGATAAAAAGATCCTAGAATTTAATGTTTAACATCCAATGCCAGAAAGCTGCGGAGTGAGACTGGAAGAGGATGCTACTGGTGTGCATTGTTGTAACACCATGCCACATTCAACCCTTAAACTCTTGAATGAGTTCAGCGGGGAGTTAAATTATTCCCAGAAATCCTAAAAGCAAAGTCAGCCGACACTCTCATTCACAGGCTCTTTGGCTCACAGAGAAGCTAAGTGGATGCTATATGAGGAGTGGGTTCAGATAGTATTTATTCCATAAGGAATAACTGACTTTACTGTGTGTCCAGCATCAACCCTCTTGCTTGTGATAATGGTAAACAGCCACAGAGACCCTGCCCTTTGGAACTTTGTTTCTACTGAGAGTGGATAGACCATAGCATTTGAATAAACAGGCAGGTAGATTCATCTCAGGTATTCCTGTTCTTTGAAGAAAACCAGACAGGACAGTATGACAGGGAACATCTTCAGGGCTGAGGCCAGGGACCAAGAATAAAAGGCGTCTCCCAGGAGGTGATGTCTGACTTGACCCTTAAGTGATGAGAGGAGGCAGGGGTCAGAGACCTATATACAAATAGAAGGAGCTCACCAGTTCCAATGGGATATGTCTTCAGATAATTGTAAAAGACCCATGTCTGAAGTTTCCCTCCTTCTACGACAAGTGACAGACCAGCATGGTAAGACAGACCAATCTGCCAGAAAGCTGTGGAGTGAGATTGGAAGAGGATGTTAGGAAACGAACAATGTCCCCTGTCTCTTCTTGATACTATAAGGCTGGCCTTTATGAATTTTTTAAGTTTTGCAGAAGAGTTTAGCATTGAGTCCTGGAAAAAGCCAGATTCACCCCAATTAATGAATACTTGTAACTTATGAACAAATAGAGCCTTAATCCTCATCTGCATCATCTATAGATCTAGAGTCCCACACTGTCAACACACAGTTGGCAAACTTGCTCAACTCTAGATCCCAACATATTTAATCAGAGGCTGATTTCTGCAAGGATGTTGCTATAGCACACAGGGGAGCTATGGCAACCATGATGTAAGGACATGAGAAATCTAAGCGAAGAAATAATTCTTTGTCTAGCAACATGATACCATGGATATGGAAATGGGGGGAGGGACTGTCTTTGATCCTACTTCAGGTTGGACATTTCCCTTCTCCCCTGGGAGAGCACAGTACCACTTTTTAGTCCGTTTGTAATATTTCAAGCTTTCCTTACACCACACCTGAAGCATTCTTCCTCTAAAACTCAACCGGACACTTGTGGAATGGTGCGTTTTCATTTAGTGATCACATCTCTCTGAGTTGATTGACAGCTTTGGTTTAACAGTCTGCAGAGCTTTAAATCTTTTAGCTTGTATTTCTTCCTTTCCAGGACTACTTAGGTGCCTGCATTGTCCTCACAGCATCTATCACATCCATTAGTGGATCTTCCAATTCGGGTCTGGTGGGCCTGGGTCTCCTGTATGCCCTTACGGTACGTATGGATGAAAATTTCTTTCTTTCCGTGCAGTGTTGGAGAAGATTTTCGTAGTAATTATCATTTCTCTTTCATGATATTAGAGAAGTCTACAAATTATAACAAGATTGCATCTTACAAATAACAGTGGATTTCTGCCTAAAACTAACATTTTAGAACAGATTACATTCATTTCTCTCTTTTTAAAAGAGATTTTTTTTTCTTTTTATTTATATGTATGTGTGTGTGTGCGTGTGTGTGTGTGTGTGCATGTGTTTGTGCATGGGTAAGTGCACATGAGTGCAGGTGCCCACAGAGGCTGAAAGGGGATGTCAGATCCCCTGAAGTTGGAGTTATAGGTGGTTGTGAACCACCCAACATGGATACTGGGAGCTGAACTCTGTCCTGTGCAGGAGCAGCATATGCTCTTTCCCGTTGAGCCATCTCTCCAGTTCTTTTTTTTCCTTTTCCGTATGTATATTCATGCGGGGGGTAGGGTTGTGTTTGTGTGTATATGTGTGGCATATGCCTGTGTATGTGTGCATGTTCACATGTATGTGTACATGTACTTGTGCATGTAGATGCTTATGCATGTGTGTACATGTGTATATAGAGGCCAGAGGTTGACATTGGGTTCCCTCCTCCACCGCTTTCCACCTTATTTTTTGAGACAGGGTCTCTCACTGAACCCAGAACTTGCCAATTTGGCTAGACTGGCTGGCCAGAGTGCCCCAAGGAGTCTCCTGTCTCTGCCTCTCCAGTGCTGGGGTTGCAGACCTTTATGTGGGTGCTGGGGATCAGGCCTTCATGCTACACAGCAAGTGATTTACTGACTGAGCCATCTCTCTAGCCCCTTAAATTCCTTCCTGACATTGTAAGACAAGTTCTAGAACCTTCTCAAAGATCACAAGCACACTATTCCCAAGGTGGTTTGAGACCCCTGTCTAGTGCTGTTCTTAACCCCATTTGGGCACTAAAATGAGCAAGTGTAAATATAAATGTGATTCCTGAACCCATGAGTGGATGTAGCTATCCACTGTGTATGGAAATCAGAGGACAGTTTACAACACAGAGCCATGGGAGACCCTTGAAGAGGGACAACCTTCTTGACTGATATGTCTCATGATTCTCCCTGGTTTCTGACAACCTGAAGCACTTCAGAATTTTATCACCTGGTGGACACTGTCTAAGACCTTCTATCCCCAAATGTTCAGTGACCATGAGAATTGCTTATTTTAACTTTTAATCTGTCCATTTTTGCCACCTGGTACAGATAACCAATTATTTGAATTGGGTTGTAAGGAACTTGGCTGACCTGGAGGTCCAGATGGGTGCAGTGAAGAAAGTGAACAGTTTCTTGACCATGGAGTCGGAGAATTATGAAGGCACTATGGGTATGTGAGCAGGGCTTCCTCGGGCACCTTGCGTGTGCTTTGCTACTTGGGTATCCAGAGAGCCCCTTCCCATCTGCATTTCTTCTTTTCTTTCTTTCTCTCTTTGTTTTATTTAGCTATTCTTTATTTTATTTTTGGATTTTTGATTTGTGAGACATGTTATCTCTATGTAGCTCAGCCTTGAACTCAACACTCTCCTACCTCAGCGTCCTGAGTGTTACAGTATATGAGTGCACAGCCACACCCACTCGTCCCTAGATATTGCTTGAAATTAGCACCTGAAAATATGAACTCATTTAAGCCTGAAAAGTCTTGGACATAACCAGACTCCAAGTAGACATTGTTTAATAATATTTAGAAAGGATTGTGTACATATTAGAACCTTGTTACACTGTATTCCTTTAAGATCTTATTAACTTAGATGTCAAGAAACTTGGTCTGTAAAATGCTAAACAAGATTCTCAACTCTAATACAACAAAATTGTCATAAAATCCAATGGCAGAGACAGTATAACCTTTACTGAATGCATATCTCAAATTTGCAATGGACTTCTTTGCCTCAATCTTTCCATAGCCTTCTTGCTGTGAGAGGGCAAAGGATAGTCTATGGTTGGAGCCACTAGAACCTTCTTTAGTGACTCAGTTTCTTATCTGCCCACACACTTTTCCCTGGATCCACTAACATGGTAAGTTTTTCTCATCTTTGTTCTTGTCTTACACATATTTAAAACCAATTCCTAAGTGACCTAAAGTGCTGCCTCTACTTTGAGCCCTTCCAAATGACCTAGGTCTCCACCATCTATAATCCCAGAGTACCTTGCGTCTACCTTTGCATGTGACTGTCTACTTAGAACTACAAGTGCTGATGTACTGCTTCTAGGGGACACAGCAAGCCATATCTTTCATCTTCATATGACCTATGACTCTCCCATTTTAAGCACTGGGATGTTTAGGATCAGCTGACTGGACACTTAATTCAGAAATGAACTATCTTTACTTAGATTGAGTGGCATAGAAGGTTGGGATGCTGAGTCTTCATGATAATGAGTAATGCACACATCACACACAGAATTAAAGTTCTAACACAAAAAAGTCAAAAGATAGGAGAGGGAACAGTTAGAAGAAGAGAGAATTCAGGAGTGGAAGGGAAATGGGGGCAGAAATGATCATGGTACATTGTATACGTGCATGAAATTGTCAAAAAATTAATTAAAAGACAAAAATGACTTAAATAACTTAAAATTCTTAATGAACATTGTTTACTCTAAGTGTGATTTAAATTGGAAAGAGAAACTACCACAGTTTGATTCAATAGTCCATGAAGTTTAGGGAAGATTTTGTGTGTGTGTATGCCTCTGTGTTAAAATTACTCCTGAAAATTACATGTGCACATTTAAGAATGTGTAAGTTTGTTTCTTCCTCTGTCTCTGACGTGTCCTGTATTTACTCTCCCACCAATCCCTGCAGATCCCTCTCAAGTCCCAGAGCACTGGCCACAGGAAGGGGAGATTAAGATCCATGATCTGTGTGTCAGATACGAAAATAACCTGAAGCCTGTTCTGAAACACGTCAAGGCTTACATCAAACCTGGGCAGAAGGTGTGCGATTTGGTTTGTTTTCCCCATAAAAGTTCTGATGGGCCCCAGTCACCATGTAAGCTCTATGGACAGCCGAGCTTAGCATATATATATCTACACTAGGTTTGCATGATGTTCTTCATATTTTGTACAATTATCTGCATAAAAGAGAAGTGGGTGGAGAGATAGTTCAGTGGCTAAGAATGCTTTCTGCTCTTGCAGAGGACCAGAGCTCAGTTCCCAGCATCCATGTTGGGTGACGCACAGTTGCCTTTAACCGTAGCTCCAAAGGAGCTGATACCCTTTTCTGGCCCCCTCAGATACCAACTCACAAAGAGAGAGACACACAGACACACACACACACACACACACACACACACACACACACACACAAATTAAAATAAAATAAATCTTAGCCAGGTATGGTGGCACACACCTTTAATCCTAGCAGTCAGGAGGCAGGGGCAGGTGCATATCTGTGAGATTGAGGCCAGCCTAGTCTACATAGAGAGTTCCAGGTCAATTGGGGCTACAGGGAGACCCTGTATCAAAAACAACCCCCAAATTTTTTAATCTTTTTTACAAAGAGAGAAGAAAAGATGAAGATGGGGACCGAGCACGATACGTGGTCTTTAGGCTGTATTGCCCTTTCTTAGTCTCTCATGAAAATTTTAAAAGTCAACACCAGGCATGTTGTTTATAATTCCCAGCTTTTGGCCCAGAGCCTTAGCAGACATTTCCTCGGTAACCTTTGCCCTCATTCTAGATCTGCTCTGTAAATGATTTCTTTTAGTTCCTGTAAAAAGAGCAAGTCTGTAGAAAAAAATAAATTGACTTCTACTTTTTCTTCCAAACCCATTGCTTCTAACCTAAAACTAGATCATTATTTAAAGGACCGACGATAACTTAGTGCTGGAACGAGACCGTGAAAACCAACACAACCACACAGAAATAAAATTTAGATGCTGATCATTGAGGGTTTGGTGAGGACTTCGTGTTTTATTTTAATAATAATTCATGAAATCTAAGAAGAAAGATTGTAATGCAATTATTCGAACAGATCTCTACTTTTAGCATCATACCTTATCTAAGTGAAAAAAATACCTTGATCTGTTTTGTCTTTTGTCTGAGTCCCCTTCCCTGAATGACAGTTGATTTTTTAGGTGGGCATCTGCGGGCGCACCGGCAGTGGAAAGTCATCCCTGTCTCTGGCTTTCTTCAGGATGGTTGACATATTTGATGGTGAGTCATTAACCAAATTAGTGAGGTGGTGTTTCCTTTTCCAAAATAAGTTGTAGGGTCCACTTGGTGGTGCTTAGGCAGGTAATGGATCTGGGGGTGGGGGAGCAGTGTCTTGGTACCCCAGTTCCGTGGGATACTGGGCAGATAAGGGGTGGGGCTGGTGTCAGGAGCCAGGATGCCCTCTGTGGGGTTGTCTTGCCAAGGGGCACAGACACTGCTCCTGCATCTCTCCAAATGTAAAAATTTGCCATCCACCGGCAGAACTCAGACAAAGCTGGCAGTAAACCGAGCATGCAGACTTAGGAAGTTGCTCTGAAAAAGAATGGTTCTACGGTACTGGATGCTTTCATCAAGATTAAGAATGGAATGGATTCCACTTTGACCTTCCAAAGAGCATGTAGAGAAGGGATCTGTGACTTCTGCACCCTGAACGTCAATGAAGGCAATGCCCAGGCCTGCACTCAAAGATTAACTCAGACCTCAGCAAAGTCTCAAAAATCTACCTTCATTCACATATGTATGTAATCGAGGATCTAGTTCCTGATTTGATTAACTTCTATGCACAGTACCAGTCCATCAAATCCTACTTGAAGAAGAAGGATGAGTCCCAGCAAGACAGTCAGCAGTAGCTGCAGTCCATCGCTGACTGGGAGAAAGCTGGACGGGCTGTATTGGTAGAAGGGGACGAGTACCTGGGGCCTGTGGCGCTCATGCAGGACTAGCGCTTGGTGGTGACTCCAGAGACTGCACAGAGGAACATCTGGCCAGGCTGTGGGACTCCTTCTCTGCCTACTGATGCCACAGCATCATGAACTACACACAGACATGCCCCAAGAGTCTGGACCCAGGGAAGGCAATTGCAGAAATCAAGATGATGGCATCCTACCAGAAGACAGCACCTGGATAATCCTCCGTGCTGAACATGGCTGTTCGGCTCTAACTTGATCCCTGTAGACACCTGATTCTCCATGAAACAGCATGTGTGAGAACACTTTAGAAATCAGCAAAAGGGATTCTACCTTATTAACAGCAGCAACAAAAAAAAAATTAAAGGTGGCTGGAGAGATGGCTCAGCGGTTAAGAACACTGGCTGCTCTTCCAGAGGACCCAAGTTTGGTTCCCAGTGCCCACATGATGGATAACAACCATCTGTAATTCCAGTTCCAGGAAATCAGCCACCCCCTTCTGGTCTCTGTGGGCATTGCATACATGTGGTACACTTACATGTATACAGGCAAAGCACTCATACACATAAAATATAAAAATTAATTTTTTTAAGTTATAGGGGCTGGCAAGGTGGCTCTGGATAAAAGCGCTTGTCACTAAGCCTGACAACCTGTGTTTAATGCTCAGGACCCACATGATAGAAGGAGAAAAACCAACTCCCACAAGTTACCCCTTGCTTCTACATGTGCACTGTGGCATGGGCATACATGCACTCACACACATGCACACACAAATAAATAAATAATAAGATGTTTTTTTAAATTATAAAGCAACATTAATTTACCTAGTTTTTAAAAATAAATAGTAAATATTTACCAGGAATTTGTATTGTGAATGTAGGTCAAGGCAGACATCCCAAATAGAAACCTCAAAGAGAGCAAAAGAAAATAGAATTGGGAAAATAAAATGACAGCCCTAAATGCAGACCTAGAGATTGCTGCCCAAGAATTCTGATAAACTGACAGAACAAGGCCCCCCACAGTAGCAGTGGCAGATGTAGGTGGCATTTGAAGGGTTAGAAAGAAGGGAAGGTTGCTTTGCTGTCCTCAGACTAAAAGTATCTCTCTCCATTGAAGAAAAAATGTGAGTAAACAAGCAATCTGCACTTAAAATTTCGGCACACTATTTACACTATCATTTCTTAACATGATTTAAGGACACTGAACATTTTGTTTAGAGGCAACTCTTTCTGTAAAATGCTAAACTCATGTCAACAACATCCAGAAATATTCAATTACAATAATCATAGAGAAATCATCACTTTGTTTTAGAAAAAAAATCACATTATTTAGTCTATCAAGTGACCTATAATTGGGCCAGCACAAGATATCTTGAATTCGAAAGGGTGTCCAGGAATGAGCTTGACCTTTACCTCCAGGAAGAGCTTATTGTAACTGTCTGTATTGACTATGGTGATGATTATATAGTACTTTGGATTTAAAAATTTTTATTTTTGAGAATTTCATACGTGAGGGTTGTCTTTGCATTATTTCCGTCCCTCCCAGTCCCCTTCCAACTCCTGCCATATCCTGCCAATTCTTTATCAAAATTTTGGCTCCTTCCTTGTTATTATTACATACACATACATCTATAAATATACATATATGTAATGAGCTGAGTCCACTTAGTGGTGCTCATGTACGTCCATATTTGAGGCTGCCCACTTGGGATTAGATAACCTCTCGGAGCTAATCCTTAGAGAAAACCTTTGGCGTCCATTGACTGCCTGTAGCTCTTCATCTTGAGGTGGGACCCTGTGAAATTCCCCCCACCCACCTTGGCATGTCACCTGGTTTTGTCATTATGCAGATCTAGTTAGACTGCCGTATTTGGAGATTCCAATGGTGCAGCCTCCCTACCATGTCTAGAGTGCATTGACTAGCAACAGGTATCTTTTTGAATTTGTGTATTTCTATTTCTTGGCAGTTTCATGCAATACATTTTGATTCCTTCCTCTAATCATCTGTCTATCTATCTATCTATCTATCTATCTATCTATCTATCTATCTATCTATCTACATATTATCTATCATCTATCTATTATGTATCTATCCATCTACCTATTATCTATCATCTATATATTATCTATCTATTGTGTATGTATGTATGTATCTATCTATCTATCATCTATCTATATATCTATCTATCATCTATCTATCATTTGCCTGCAGAGTCAGGTTTGTGTCCCTAAATGCCCTTCTGTGTGGGTTTATCCACTGGAGCCTGGTCAACATACTAAGAGTCTCAGCCTTAAATGAAACTGAATCTTCACTTTCCAGCAGTCATCAGTTGCCAGTAATTCCTCAGATAGGGTTAGGGTTTCTTACCTACTTCCCCAAGTCTATGTTGGGATTTTGTCTGGCTTGAACTCACATGGGACTTGCCCATGCTGTCAGCATTGTTGTGAGTTCATATGAGTAACTGACCACCGGTCTAAAATCTCTGTTTCCTTGTGGTCATCTACCTCCTCTGGCTTTTACAATCTTCTGTCCCCTCTTCCAGTGATCCCCAAGCCTTGAGAGGTCGAAGTTTGATATCGGGTGCTAGTCAGGGTTAAGCAGTCTGTAGCCTCTTACTCTCTGCATATTGGCCAGTTGTGTTTCTCTGTGTTAACCACCATCTGCTGTAAGGCATCGTTTCTTCTGAGAGTTGAGAGATGCATTAATCTATGAGTATAATAATAAGTCACTAGAAATCAATTTAATACTATATATATTTAGCAGAATAATTGTATTAGGCTCTCTCCTGTGGCCTGTGCACTGTCTAGCCTCAGGATCCTAGGCTGATATCAATGTCAGATATGGGCTCCATCTTATGAAGTAGACCTTAAATTCAATTAGAAAATGCTTGGTTACTCCTATAACATTCATGCCACTATTACACAAGAAGGCATATCTTCTAGGCCAGTTGTTGCAGCTCACAGGATTCAAAGCTGAGTTAAGGTCTCACTGAAATTTTTCTTTAGTTTGCTGCCACAGCAGCTCCCAGTACCATGAAAGCTCAGCAGCAGAAACGAGGCTCTGAAGTCAGCACCAGCTTGATCTCTCCCTGTGTGTTCTGCAGTTCATGTATGTAGTGTCTTTAGCAATAGGGTCTTACTGTGGATTTCTGCTGTGTAACCAAGAGCAGGGGCAATGGACAGTATTGTCTGAGGGTCTATGGGACTCCTGACCAGCAGCTTCAAAAGAGAGATTCCATTTCTGGCATTGGGCTTTTACTTTACTAGCCTAGGGTCTAGAAGGGGCAAGGTCCCCTGTTACAACATAACTCCTTTTAGTCTCTTTTTATAACGTATTTGCATATACTTTAAGTAGCTCCTGTAGCGGTATTTTCGTATGACTTTTTCTAAAGGCCTTTAGTTTTACTTCCTTCCCACACTCCCTCCTCTGCTCTGCCCTCCTATTTCCCTCCCCATTTAACCCTTCCTACTCCATTATCTCCCTATTCCCTTTGTATCACTGCATTCTATCTCCCCACCCAGAGAGCCTTCCCTCCCCCAGCCCATGACTGTTCATTAGTCTTTGACCTCTCCAGATCTTCAGACTGAAACATGCATATTTAGGATTTCAAAGCTAGCCTTCAGCTGTGACAGAGAACATGGGACCTTTGTTTTTCTGAGTCTGGCATACCTCACTCAGGGTGACTGTTTCCAGTTCCATCCACTTAAGTGGCAGGCGTATTGTCCCTGTGGCTCTCACATTCTTCCTTCCCTCTCTTCCCCGAGCCTTAGGTGTAGAGGCCTGTGAGCATGAGACTGAGATGGTAGCTTGTTCTTTCTGTGACCCATATTAGCACACAGATATTTTAAGGACTTCCTGTGAGATTTGTGTTTCAAGGCAATGATTACATGCGCCAAAGACAACTTAATGATGCTTTGTATTTTAAAAATGTGGTTATGACTGAGCCTATTTGGTTAGCCTGCATATAGAAAGGTGATTTTAGGACCCCTGAAAACTCATATCACCAAATTATTCCCTTTTATGTAGCATGAGGCTATTAATATTTAACAGATAACATATCATTCTTGAAAGACACTATTTAAGTCCATCTCCCTTTCCTGTTCTTGAATTTAAACCTGCTTAGTAAATGGGCTGTCACCATTTTGAGTTTTACACATTTGCCTCACAAGACAATTTTGTCTTTGCACAATGGTGAGATGAGGAAATTTATCAGACATATGGGGAACTTTAGTAAAATTTTATTTCATATTATAATTCACTTTCCTAATTATGAGGCACTGTACTACTCAATACATCACTGAATGACAGACAAAAGGCTTTGTCTTTAGGGAGTTTTTATTATAGTTGTGGAGTTGGGCAATAAAAAATACAAATATACTATAGACTATCTGGTTCTGAAAAATCCCAGAAACAAAATCAAACAGGAAGGGATAATTAAAGGAATTCTAGAATTTAAAAAAAGACCCTAAAGAAAAGGTGCAAAAGTGATTTTGACTTTTATGAGCAAATAAACAGAATAATAGCTATATATTCCTTTAGGAAGAAATATATCAAAAAGGCAAATCACCAGAAAAGCACATTTTGTTAGAGAAAGATGTTTCTAACACTTAAATAGGAAGCTTTGTATTCTGCATTTCAACCCAGAAATTTTTTCTATTCATTCATTTATATTCATTTGTGGCACTGGGGATTGAACTGGGGTTACATAGAAAATAAATAACTCTTAATTTGTAGGCAACTGAAAGTTTTACTCACAAGTTTGCTGCATGCCTGTAACTTCTGGGTTGTTTGTTTGTTTGTTTGTTTGTTTGTTTTTGTAACAGGCAAGATTGTCATCGATGGGATAGACATTTCCAAACTCCCCCTGCACACGCTACGTTCAAGGCTGTCCATCATTCTACAGGATCCGATCCTTTTCAGTGGCTCTATCAGGTGAGTGGCCTGGTCTGAGAACTTTGCCAGGTAGGTGTGAAATAGCCTTAACAAGATGATGAATCAAGCACACTGCCTAGTAGCTGGAATGGGGCCCTCTGGTCTTGGCTCATTAACCCAGCCTAGCGCTATGAGCTCTGTTAGGTTCTGTAAAACTCACTTTTCCTCTGGGCCTGGTGAAGTAATCCTTGGCAGAAATTTCTATGGTGTTTTGCTCCACAGATATCTGGCCTAATTCTTCTGTTTCGGCCATGGCCTCAGCAGATAGTCTAAACTGGTTACTCTCTTCATCTACTTCTTCACAACTTTACAGTCCTCTCAGATGGCTTAAACAAAGTTGTTCCAATGGTCTCTGTCTCTGGTTTGTGATTTTCCACAAATAAAAAAGAAAAATAAGTGGAGTTATTTACTCCTTGACATATATAGGTGTATATATATACATATATTTGTGTGTATGCATACATATGTATTTATTTTCCCTCATGTTACAGATGATGATTTTGAAACTCAAAGAAGATGTGTCTTGTCCAAATTCATATTCTAAATGATAAAGCTAAAATTCCAACTGGAGTTTGTCTGATTATAAGGTCTACCTCCACATCATTCACCTTCCACTAGATCATTTCTTTGTGCTCAAAGAATATATATATATATATATATAATATATATATATATATATACTCTGCCCATTTAATTGCAGAAAAATGCCACTTCCATTCAAGAATTACTGTTTAGCTTGGAAAGAAAAATGTGTATAGCATGCCTCATTATTTAACCATAAAATTTATTGAATTCAAAGTTATAGATTTGTTGATTTATTTAGGAACACTCTGAGATTGTTATTATGAATACTTCTGTTGTGATTGGTGAAGCACACTTTGTCTAAAATAGAATTAAATGCTAATTAAAAACATAGATTTAGATACTTAGCATTGGTTCTATGAAATTCTTTACTAGATTTATTCAGGTAATGCTAAACATAATATAGGTCCAGGTAATAAAATTGATCATATATATGAAAACGTACCTAGTGCTTTCAATAAACCATTTATGACATTAGGATTCATTCATTCATGAGTTCCTTTACTAAAACACAGATTGCTCTGTAGTAATCAATATTTTAGTTTTTTATTTTTTATTTTATGCGTGAGTGTTTTGTCTGAATGTATGTAAAGGCACCTGTGTGTGCGATGCCTGTGGAGGCCAGAAGAGGTGCCAGATCCCCTGGAACTGGAGTTATGGACAGTTGTCCACCACCATGTGGATGTTGGGAACTGAACCTGAGTCTTCCGTGAGAGTAGCCAGTGCTTTTAACTGCTGAACCATCACTCCCAGCCCCCCTGTAATGAGCACTATTTTAGATGTTGAATATGCAGCCATACCAAAACAGTCAGCACTTAACAATTAAGGAAAAATGATAAACCAACATATATAAATTGTCCTGTATCATTAGTGACTGAGACACTGATGCTGGCTTACAGATTCAACTTAGATCCAGAGTGCAAGTGCACAGACGACCGACTCTGGGAGGCTCTAGAAATCGCCCAGCTGAAGAATATGGTCAAGTCCCTTCCAGGAGGTCTGGGTAGGTTTTCCAGATATTACGGTTACTAATTACTTTTTGATTAAGACTGCACACCTCTGTCTGTGTTTTCTGCTAGAATCACATAACCCTAGTGCTCATCCTCTCATTTTTAAAATAATCTACCAAAGGTCATTAGGATATTTCAAAATGGATGATTTTGTATGGAGTTCAAGATGTGGAACTTCGTAGCAAATTCTGCTCCCTGTGACTGCTCCAGAATGCTCCAGTGAAGCTGACGGCGTCGTTCTCATCAGCACTTGTGGGTTCCACTCACTTTATCAAGGGTTTCCTTGTGGCCATTCTTACTCGGGAACACTCAGGGTCACTGTGCCTCTGTAAATGGATGAGAGAGGTTTTCAGAGGCTGTTAGCTTTCAAGTCACTGGCCCCGTTGAGACAAAGATCGTGTCTCTGTGCTGGGAACCATTTTGGCTTCTTTCCTTTTCTTTTTTTTTGCTGTCAGGGGAGCATATCCCTTTTATTTACATAACATGTTTTATATCTTGTTTGAAGACATTACTATTATCATTTTAATTTAATTTTATTTATTCAGTTTCTTTCTTTTTATACATTGACAGTTTCGTATATGCATATAATGAATTTTGGTCTTTTTTCTCCCTCCATTACCCTCTCCCAACCCCTCCCTCTCCTGCTGAAACTCCTCTTCTCCCCAGATCCCCCTCCTACTCAATGTCTATTGTTGGGAGTTCTTTTATGACCCGCTGAGTTTAATTAGAGTTGCTTACACTAACCTGGGAAGGGGGTTATTTACTGGCACACAGACAGCTTATCAGAAATGACACTTTCCTTACCAACCAGTCTGTGTAGCCCAGTCTGGCCTTGAATTTCTAGCAATCTGCCCACCTCAGCCTCCCAAGTGCTTAGATCACAGATGTAAACAGCCACACCTGGCTTTGAAGAAATTATTTCATATTATCTTGTTAGAATATCACTGCTGGTCATCAGTGAGAGTAGTGTACAAGCAAGTAGTGCAATTTCTAACAAATAAATGCTGACAAAATGAATCAATATGTGTTAAAGGAACAGTGACTCATACTATATTTCATAAAACTGATATTTATAGTTTGGGACTTTTACTTCCTTAAAATCTGAATCGATTTAAGAAAGCCATAGAAAAAAATAGCTGTTTTTTTTTTTTTTAATTTCACTTTAATTCACAATGCAGTTGCCAAATTGATTGCATTGTTTGGGGATCTTGTACTTTAATAAATCAACTTATAAAACCAAACCATGTGTACTTGATAGTTTATTTGGAAAGGGGGACCTACCCAAAGCAACATGGTTTATGATTTTAATTAAGTTCCAAGTGGAAGCATATTTCAAAGAGAAGTCAATGCAGCATGTCTTTAAGGAAAGTTTTATTGACTTTGCTGTCATCGGGTTGTGGGAGTAATTCCATAACCCTGGGTGAACTTTCTCTCAAAAATTGTTGGGCGCATACATAGTACCCTTGAGATGTTGCTATATTCTTTTTTTTTTTTTTTTTTGAGATGTTGATATAGTCTTACAGACCTCTCCTCCTTGGCATTTAGTGACCCACTCCCTACACCGTGCCACCAATGGTTAGAAAGACAGGCAACTATACCTTCAGAGCCCTCTTCACTAATAGGAGACTTTCTCACATGCACTTTAAGTTGAGGACATAGAGTTTGAGGGTTAGGATGTAGTAGAAGCAACATGAGATCAAATGGGTCATGAGTAACTTACCGACTGACTAACTTAACTCACTGACTTGAGAAAGATGACACTAACTGCTTAAGGAAGAGCCACTCCAGGCCAGCTCTTGCAGACAGTACTCAGCGTCCTCTTTATCCACAAATTAGAAACTGTAGACTTAATACCTGTCTTCTAAGTATGAGACGTTATAAGAATTGAATGCAGTGAGAATTTAATCAGTATAAATACCCCCCAGGGCATTACTAAAAGGAGTTTGATTTCTAAGAAAAGAGACAGTTTGGAAACAGAATTTATCTTTAATTAATATGAGAAGTTTATAAAATATGGATAGACACCAAGAAAAGAAAGTTTAATGGGCCGTATTCGCTTTCCTCTATGTGCGTATTTTAGTGACCTACTCTGCCAAGTACTGCAGTGTTGGAAACACATGGATAAATAAAAATAAACTCACTCGACCCGTATCCACTGAGAGATTACAGATTAGTGGGATGCTGGAAGAAGGGGAATTGGGGTTGGAATAATATATTTCTTCTCAAGCTCTGCTACATACCAGCTCAATATGACCTTGGACAAGCCACTCGATCTTTCTGAGCCTTGGATAATTACATTACACAGACTCCTGGAAGAATGAGATTAAAAAATTAAATAACCCCTCAGTTTTGTCTTCTAAATGTGTTTACTATCAGGAGGTAATTTGCCCGCAGTTGTCAGAAGTCAGAGGAGCCAGCACATTCTCCCCTTTGCCTCAGAGGAAATCTTGGTGGTGACCCTTGGCTCTCCAGCACACTGACCTCCAACAAAGCATGCTTTCCTGACTTTGCCCGAGAAAAAGTTACTGATTTGACCCTCTTGTTTCTCCTTCTGCCTTAGACGCAGTTGTCACTGAAGGTGGGGAGAATTTCAGCGTTGGACAGAGGCAGCTGTTCTGCCTGGCTAGGGCCTTTGTACGGAAGAGCAGCATTCTCATTATGGACGAGGCCACGGCCTCCATTGACATGGCCACGGTGAGTGTGGCAAAGTGAGTGCACTGCAAAGTGCAGGAAAAGTGCATTATTTTTTGGAGGGTTCTGAACGCTCAGTACTGTGGCTGTAAATCATGCCCCAGCCATCTCCCTGGTCAGCCAATGGTCACCTTGAAAATGACACTAACCCAGACACCACATTAAAGGAGTTTCTGTTACCAAGACACACTTGTTTTTTCCTCTTCTTAATGCTTTTATTTTGACGTAAATTCAGAAATGTTGTGAGGAAAGGAAAAATAATTTTCAAATACCCCAGCCAGATTTCCTTTTGGTCTTGTTTTCTTACTGATTTCATATATATACATATATACGTGTGTGTGTGTGTGTGTGTGTGTGTGTGTGTGTGTGGTACAGTGTGATGTTTTCATCCATATATTTGTTATGGAAAGACTCAGTTAAGCCAATTAACATATCTTTAACTTTGACAACTTACCAGATCTTTTTATACTGAGAAATGTTGAAAGTCTGTCTCAGCAGTTTTTAAATATATGGCATTATTACTGGCTGTGGCTATCACAAAATGCAGTAGGTGGAGAAAGAGTGAATTGGTGAGGAGATACAGAAAAGAGACCCCTGGTACATTATTGGTGGGAATGAAAATTACAGCCATCGGGGAAAACATGTAGAGGATCCTCAAAATCTAAAAATAGATTCACCATATGATCCAACAATCTTACTACTGGGTATATATATCAAAAGGAATCAAACTTCATATGCTAAATAGGTATCTGCATGACCTTGATCCTTTAAATATTATGCATAACACCCAAGATGTGCACACACCTAGGTGTCGGTGGATAGATGTTTTAATAATGAAAACATAATATATAGACATACTAGAATACCACACAGCCTTTAGAAAGAAGGCAACGACCATTTATGACAATGTGGCTGGAGCTGTAGGCACTGTGCTATGCTAAGTGAAAAAGCCAGTCACAGGGCTGGAGAGATGGCTCAGTGGTTAAGAGCACTGACTGCTCTTGCAAAGGACCCAGGTTCAATTCCCAGCACCCACATCATGGCTGCGAACCATCCTTAGGTCCTGTTCCAGGGGAATTTGAAGTTCTCTTCTGACCTCCGAGGCATCGCACGACATGGGTGCACTCACATACATGCAGGCAATACACTCATACATACAAATAAAAATAATAAAATATTTTTAAAAAAGAAAAAAGGAAAAGCCAGTCACAAAAAGACAAATACTACATGACCTCACTTACATGTAAAATCCAAAAAAAAATTGATCTCCTGGAAAGAGAGTAGAAAGGCAGTTCCCAGAGGTTGTGGGGGAATTGTCTGGGGAAGGGGAGGAAGGAAGGGAAAGAGAAATGGAGGCTGTTTAGCAGAGGTGGGATTCTGTTAGGCTGCAAGAATGAGTTTTACAGATCCACACAATGTTCTTCCTGATAAGTTTAAAGGGCTGTGTAAGCCCAGTGCTCAGGTACTGTTCATAGAAGCACTAAACTGTTGTGTGTAAATGTCTGTTCAGTAGACCATTGATTGACAGCCAAAGCCATTCACTGACTAAAGCTATTTGCTAAGATTCACAATGACTAGACTTAAGAACGGCCTGTCCCTGTGCACTCATGGTGAAAGTCTGGACACTTTGCTTTGTGAAAGAAAGTGTCTGAAATGTGTCAAGCATGTCCAAGAAAGCTCTTTCTGGGAGTCTGTGACCCAGTGGGACAATGGGACTCTTTCACATTAAACTACAGCTGTGTGGACTAGTAGTTAACATCCTTTTAATTTGATATCAAAACAAAACAGCTTCAAGATTATTAAGAATCAATTATATATGAGAATGCTAATTGACTCCTTCCCTCCCTTCTCTGCTCCTCTCTTTTCCTCTCTCTCGCTCTTTCTCTTTATCCCTCTTCCTCCTTCCTTCCCTGTCTTCATCGCCCCTACCTTCCCCACTCTTTCTAAGACATCTCCCTCTGTAACTCTGGCTGGCCTGGAACTCAGCATCCTTCCAAGCTGTCCTCAAACTTGCAGCAATCCTCCTGCCTCTGCCTCCTGAGTACAAGAATTACAGGTGCTCACCACTATGCCTGGTTTCACATCTTTTTTTTTTTTTTCTATTAAGAATAATCAAGGTACATCACAAAGTGATATAACATCAAAGTTAATCTATTATAAAATAATAAAGTTGTCTATGGCCAAGCTGTTTCACTCAGTAAGTAGAAGTAGCACAAATCAGAATTAACACTAAGGTTTAAGGATGACATTGCTTCAACAGGGAGGAGAGAGGGAGGGGGCGGAGAACATGTGGCTTGAAACAATTTTGGTGAAAGACTTAAGTAGACATGGATTCCTCTAGGAGAGAGAGAGAATCTTCACCCAGAACAGTTTTCAAATATAATTATAGTAGTACTTTGTGATATGAAGAAAAATCTTTGCCTTCCTTGAGTTAAAAATCCAAAATTTTGGCATGGATTTCAATTTCTCTCTCTCTCTCTCTCTCTCTCTCTCTCTCTCTCTCGAATGCCTCTTGTTTTCACACTGTTGTGTTTCCGCACAGTCAAGTCTCTCTCTCTCTCTCTCTCTCTGTCTCTCCTCTCTCTCCCTCCCTCCCTCCTCTCTCTGTCTCTCTCTCTCTTTCCAAGTCAAAGGTTAATGCTCTCTTGGGGTTTGGTTAGCTTTGAGGTCCATGCTGTTTGTGGTCCAATGCAAGTGTGCATCCCAACCTGACATTTTCATACTCTGTGTTGAGTTCCGTTACTCATCCCCCTCCCCCATGGCTGTCCCTGCCCCCCTCATCCTCTCTTGTTGTTTCCTTTCCCTCCTTTCTCTAACATCTTCCTGTCTGCTTCCCCTTCACATTCATTCCCTTCCCCTCTCTGTTTCCTCCCTCTCCCTCCCTGAAGGCCTCTTCTCGCCTCTTCATGGTGCTCCTTCTGCTTAGGACCACTGAATTTTGTTTGCATTTTGAAGACCTCTCCAGAACCCAGCTGCTGCTGCCTACACTTTTCAGCTCCCACAGACATCTTGGAGTGAGAGTGTTTGGAAAGAACCGGGCATGGTCTTGGGGGCAAAATATTATGGGAAGAGAAAGAGGTCCCCAGAACACTCACACTTTTCTTTTTCGGCAGGAAAACATTTTGCAGAAAGTAGTAATGACCGCGTTTGCAGACCGCACCGTTGTAACCATAGCAGTAAGTAAGATTGGGGGGGGGGGTGTCCCTCCTAAGTTCCTGTTATTAGATTAGATTCTATTGTCTTTAAATCTAAGCAATTAAAATTCACTTAGGATGGAATAACATATCTCTGTTTTGCTTCATTTTCATAGCTGTGCTAATTTATTGTTATTATTATTATTATTATTATTTTCTTCTGTACAGCTGTTTCTGAAAGCCAAACTGTCTGTGTTACCTCTCCCCTAAGTTGTAATGACAGAAATTCAAAATGTGAGGGCACCAGCCAGTCCTCTGCTAAGTGTTTGTGCTAATCCTTTTGTCAAAAATGTGATTGTCCAAGGAGGAGTTGCAGATGGAAAATCCTCAAATTTCCTTGCAAGTTTGGCTACCAAATAACAGCTTAATTTCTATGTTTCTATCCATTTATCTTTTTTTGTCATTTTAAAGAAGCCAGTGAGCTACCTCATATCAGGGCAGGTACCGTGTCTACATCAGGCAGCAGCAATCAGATTGAAGAGCGACTTGTTAATTCATGTGATCGCTTGCCTGCAACAGGCACAGTTTTCTATCTCTTCCTCTTAGTATCCGGGTGGGTCTCGGTTCTGGTTGCAGCTTCTAAAGACTTGTGAGGCAGTAGTACATTTTCCTCCTGCTGACTCTCTCTCTCTCTCTCTCTCTCTCTCTCTCTCTCTCTCTCTCTCCAGCACCGTGTTTCTTCTATTGTGGATGCAGGCCTTGTTTTAGTCTTTTCTGAGGGTATCTTAGTGGAGTGTGATACTGGTCCAAACTTGCTTGCCCACAAGAATGGCCTCTTTTCTACTTTGGTGATGACCAACAAGTAGACCTGCAAGATCTGCTGCTCCAGGCATCCTATTCTCTGGTAGCTATCTTAGTGGAATCTCTTCTGCAAGGCAAAGCTAATGCTGTGATTGAAGGGAGTGCTGGGGGAGGGAACTAACCACAGGCTACCACTGCATATGTTAACTCAACTAAGTGCTTGCATCATGTGTGGTAACAAGTAACAAGCTTATGTTGCCAAAGGCAGCATTTATGAAACCTGAGAACCAGACTCACCTCTGTCCTAAGGACCAATTCATTTGAGGATGTTTGCTACTATCCTTAAAAATACAGTGCATAGCTGTATGGAAAACTCTCTTTCACCCCAACCTAAGGAACTTTTGGCAACCAGTGGCTGCTGGGAGCTGAGACAGTCTCTTTCAAGCAAGGAATTCTTGGTAGATTAACCAGACTCTAGTGAATGAACCCACACTGAAGGTTTTGGATAGGAGAAGGGATCTAAACACTATCAAATTACATCGCATGAAAATCACAAAAATTCAATTAACATATTAAGAAAAAAAACCCTGAAAAATACCATGCACATTCCTTACCTGTCTTGAAGAATGCTTTCATTTAAATGATTATTTAGTTTAACCACTGGGGAGCTGAGAGGGCTGCTTGCTATTCCTGGGGGGAAGAGCATTCTTTGAAGTGTAGCTTTTTTAAGATGGCAGAAATGACTTTCCATTGGGTCCAGGTAAAGGAAACCTCACTTCCGCTAACTTTTCTGACGATGAGCTCTGTGGTTCTTCCTTTCCTGAAGGAAGATACTCAGATTAGCTCATTCACACTATGATTTAAGAGGGGAAAGGACTACCTATCTTTTTTTAAAAATTGTTTATTTAATAACCACATACTTAGAAGAAGCATTTCATTACAACAGCATTGACATATTCAATAACAATTTCCAGAGCTAAGATGCATCTCTTTCAAAATTGGCTGTAAAATTTTAGGTTTGCAGTTGAATTATTACAGTTATACAATATTGTGCTCAGTTTAAACCCTATAAGACATAAAATTAAATGAGGTTTTAACCTTTAAAAAGATCTCCATTTCATTATTAAAATACACAGTTTCATACAGAAAAATTCATTTTTAATGCAATTGACATTAAGATGTTTGCACATGCGTTTCTAATCTCTATATATCTGATTATTACTAGTCACAGTTAGTTACTTTCTGAGCTCCTTGGCATCTGAGCATGGATATAAAGTCATCAGGTAGATTTCAGTGGTAATGTTTTTCACATCTACTAATTATTAAGGAGCAAATTTTTATCCTTTGAAAAATTATTATTTTTTTATCATTATTTTTTTTAATTTTTATAATAACTATATGATTGGAAGCTTTTCACTACAGCTTTAACATATTCAGTAACACACTCCAGAGCAAGAGTAGTTCCTCAGGTAAGATTCAGGCTGGAATTTTATTCTGGTTTGAGCTTGCATGGGACTTCTGCATGCTGTCACCATTGCTGTGAGTTCATGAGAAATTCACCGGTGGATCTACGTTTCATTTTGGAATATATTGTTCCTTGCAGAAAGACTCATTGTTTTTGCTACTAACACTGAGATGTTGGCACATGCATCTCTAATCTGTATGTATCCGATTATTACTAGTCATAATTGGATGCGCTTGGATCCTTGGTGCTGGTGTATGTCTATGAAGTCATCAGGTAGATTTCAATGGTAATGTTTATTACCTCTGCTAATTAACATGACATAAATTTCCGTGTTTCCTCCTCAAATATAATACATTTTTAAAGATTTGTTGATTTGTGTGTGTGTGTGTGTGTGTGTATGTGTGTGTGTGTGTTTATCACACAAAACATCCCAAATCATTTTATTCAACTATACACCCATTTCCCAGATGGCACCTTCCTATAGCCTCCCTCCCCCAACTAGAGCCCTTATACTAATATCCCTGCTACTGTCTGCTGTGTTGTCAGCACCCCCAGCCATTCCCCACTCTTCTGTTGAATCTAGTCAGCCTATCTAGAGGTCTTTGTTTTAGGAGGGTCAGCTGTTCCTCATCTAGCAGCAATCAGTTGTCAATAGTCCTTTGGATAAGATTGGGGTCAGCTGTTTATTTCCCAGTTCTATGCTGGGTTACTATCTGGGGGTCCCTTTGGCCACCCTGGCTTACAACTCAAAAGAAGGTATCACCTGTCTGGCATTGTTGCTTGTTATGTAGCCTTTAGCTATGCATATGGACGCTTATGAAATTATATTGGCCCCTTTAATCTTTGGTTATACTTTCCTTTTGGGTGTTTAAGGCCATACAGTTGGCCCAGATAAACCAATTTATTTTTACTCTTAAGGTCGTTTGAGGATCTGTTCCTCAGGGGTCACATGGGAGGACTACCTATCTTGAAAAATAGTTCTCAGATATTTTAAGAATTGTCTCACTAGTGAAATGCAGAGATACTTTGGGAGAAAATTTCTCGTTATCTTGTATGAGTTGGAGGAAAGAGAAATATAGGCCCTTGCTAACCTGAAAAACCAAGTCTGCTCTACTTTGCATGAAACTTGGTGGTGTTGGGTAGTCCCATGAAGTCTGTATCTTCAAGATTATTTGAGCGTAATTTGTGTCTTGAAGCTGAAGATTATATTCTCTTGCCTGATTTCTATGCTATTTTCACAAAATACTTTTCTCTATACTATATTCCACTCACTCTTCAAGACCGTTAGTGTGAGGGATCATTAAAACACCTGGCTTCCCACACATACCTAAAGCTCTTGGGGAGGAAGCATCATTTGAAGGTTCTCTAGAGGGGTCATGATTTGTAAGTGACTCATAAAACAGAGCAGCACCATAATTGCCACAGACTCCTTCCAGAATGATCCACGGCTTTGCTGAGTTATTTTCTTTCTCTGCCTAAAAGTTTTTGTGTTGCTTTGGTTAACTGCCACTGAGCAATTACAGACTATCTTTAAAATACAACTTTTTGCAGGTTCTTAAGAGAAGCCGTCACACACCAAATTAGTCCATGGTATTTACTTACGGAAATGATTTACTTTTCACTCCCAGTTGGATTAACTTCTCTGGAACACTTCAACACTTTTACAATTGACACCATACTTTGTCAACAACAACAATAACAAAAAAGGGAATTAATGAGCTAAACATCAGATATATTTATTTCTTTTGGCTAAGATCATTCAACATTTTTATTATTTTCATAAACATTATTTTAGGCTATTATGTAGTCATAGATGTAAAATCCAAATTTTAAAAAATCATCTCTGATAGGGTTATTGATGAATTAATGTTTCTTAGAGAGGAAATGCATAGCATGTATTAAACAATTCTTTATGCTTACATTTTTTAAATGCATGAGATGCAAATGGCTCTAGCCCTTTCTCAAAGAAAAGTACACACAGTCTTCCAACTTTTAGCAGGTTCTAAAAACACACCATTTGTTATCGAAGTCAATGAATGATAGACTGTGAGTGTTGGAGGCCGTGGGTATGTCTCACGCTGGCATCCTTGCTCTGCTCATGTGTTTCGTGTCTCCTCTCACTGAGAGTCACAGCTGGGAGTTTTTCTAAGAGCACAAACTTTGAGACTACCCCATGTTCCTGGGGTAAATTCAGATCCCTGCCACTGGGGACAGTTCTAGACTAGGCTTTGCTTTGCTAAAAGAGAGGCACTTTGAATGACTATATATTATCCAAGTAGATGGTCTCTCTACTGGCACTCTGGGCAGAAATTCCACCAAGGTTTGGTTCACACAACATGATCCACTGTGGTACTATCTTGCCACGAGTGACTACTGAGAACTTGGAATGTGGCCGAGGGTTGCTACAAGGGTAAAATATGTCATGGATCCCAAACAGCACAAATAGAAGACTACACAGCAACTCATGAGAGCTGGAGAGATGGATCAACAGTTAAGAGCACTGGTTGCTCCTGCAGAGGACCTAGGTTCAAATCCCAGCACCCACATGGTGGCTAGCAACCATCTATAACTCCAGTTCTAAGAGACTGGATGCCCTCTTCTGACCTCCACAGGCATTGCTTTTAATACTGTTTATTTCCAGTTTTAAAATGTGTCTCCCGGCAACTTTAAAATGATATTGCTCACTTAGATTTTATTGGCTAGTCTGATCTCACCAAGAGTAAAGGCCAGTACATTGATTTTTCTTTTCTAAATCATTAAGAGACTGCATGACAGTGCTAACATTTATTGTTTGTTTATATGTGCCAGAAAAGTTGTATTTTTGTTGTTATCATTTTACAGATGCAAAGGCACCCATGGTTATTAGGTTGCTCAAGATTGCACAAGTAATAGGTAGGGGAGCCAAACTGTGAGGTGCTCTAACATAAGAGCCCGGGCATGTAACCATAACACTTGTCACAGTGTGTGAGCATTCTTTAAGGTAGCAGGCATCCCAAGAAAGCATTCAATAGCAAGATACAAAAACGTCACCCTCTGAAGTTAGTAAACCAGCCTGCTGATTCTGCTGTTTGCTATCCATGTCATCTCCTGATTTGTCTTGATCTTGCTGAACTCCAGTGATATCCCAGATAAAATGGAGGAGGGGCCCCCAAACCTGGATGATTTGCAAGTACATGTATGTGATGCATCTAATGCATGAGATGAGCTTGCTAAGTGGTAGTTTTTATTATTGTTAATTACTAATGCCAATGCCCCTCTTCAAAGAGGGCTAGTGTGTGGTGGTGATCTCCAGCAAATAAGAGAACCCTGGACATTCATCAAAAACCCAAAGCCAGGGTTTACTGCCCCAGACGATCTTCCCAGAACTGGACTTCCCAGGGGCCTTCCAATTGTGTATCAGCACAAGAGATCACTGTAGCCAAAAATAACCCCGGGCCTGGAGAGATAGCTTGGCAGTTACAAGCACCTGCGACTCAACCATGAGGACCAAGTTCAGATCCCAGCACACACATCTGACAGCCCATAACTGCCTGTAACTCCAGATCCAAGGAAACCTGACTCCCTCTTCTGGCTTTTACAGATACCTGCATGCACTCACACAAACACATGTGCACGTGCACACACACACACACACACACACACACACACAAATAAACAAAATAAAATTTTTTGGCTTTTGGGGACAGGGTCTCCCTCTAGTCCCAGCTGGCCTGGAACTCACTATGTAGACTAGGCTAGCCTTGAACTCACAAAGCTCCACCTGCCTCTGACTCTTGAGTGCTGGGATTAAAGGCATGTGCCACCATGCCCGGCTCCAAAATAAATATTTTTTAAAAGAATAAAATATAACCCAACTGAGTCACAATGGCTGCCCTTAGCATTTCGTTATTCATCATTAGCATGCATACATGTCGAGTTCCTGTAAGATAATGATACTGATACATTAGCTTCATAACATTATTACAGACTAAATAAAATCCAGCTACACTGGTTGGTCTTTAAACATATGTAAATAAATAAATACATGAATAATGTCAAAGGGCATTTCTTAGCATCTCTGAATTGTCAGGGAAATATTCGTTTTCATTGTTTAACTTGTGCTCTCAAGTTTATAACAAATGTACGTATTGTTTTCTTTCACAAAGCACCGGGTTCACACCATCCTGACGGCTGACCTGGTCATTGTGATGAAGCGAGGGAACATTTTGGAATATGACACTCCGGAAAGCCTCTTGGCCCAGGAAGATGGAGTCTTTGCCTCCTTCGTTCGTGCAGACATGTGAAAGGATGGCTATCAGTGGCACACATACTCAGAGGAACACAATCCCCACATACCTACGAGATCTTCGGCTTAACCTTTGTAGGATGGCACCTTATGCTTTTACAGAGTTTTGTACCAGAAGTTGACATTTCCGTTTCTTAGTTTTGTGTAACAGGTTTCTAGGATATCACTTCTTAGTAGATTCATCACGGGTGTATTCCTAATGATCAAGCCACTGTGGAATATGTATTAAGACTGTAAGCTACAGTAAGAAGTAAATTGGTTTGTGTTAAGTGTGGTAAACATCTCTCAAGCAGACAATTTGAAATGAGTCATGAGCACTACCATGTTCTTTATTGATTAGAGAATTTCATACAATGTATTTTGATTATAGTCAGAGCCTTCCCCCTTCACCCCCACTACCCCTACTTCATCTTCTCTTTTAGTATTTATCTTTTTTTAAGGCCTATTGAGTCTGCGTTTCCCAAGTTCTCTTAGGTGTGGATCTATCTCTTGTAGTCTGGTCAGCCAACCAGATGTCTCACCAGTAAGAAAAACTTAACTCTCCTTTGAGTCTACTGCTGATGGATGCTCAGACAGAGCTGGGGCTTCCTGCCCACCTCCCTCATCCATGCTGGGCCCCTGTCTGCATGGGGTTACACAGTTCTTATGCATACTGTCATAAGTTCTGTGGGTTCGTGTCTTGGGAAAATGTGCCCACTGGTGTGACATTGGCATGAATGTTATGGGAGTAACCAACCACCTTCTAATTGGATGTAAGCCCACTTCGCAATAGGCAGTCCATACCTGACACTGTTCTCAGGTCTAAGAACCTGTGACTAGATAGGTCACAGGCCAGTGGGGAGAGTCTAGTACAATCATTCTGCTAAATAGACATAATATTAAACTGATTCATGATAACTTCTTATACCCATAAATTAGTGCAGCTCTCCGCTCACCAGAGAAGAGTTTTCTTATAAGTGATTGTGATTAACACAGAGACCCACAAATAGTCCATGTGCAGAGAATAACAGATTGCAGAGTGCTCAGCCCTAAATGGGACACTTATACTGCATCCTCTCCTCAGGGATCATTGCAGAATAGGGGGTGGAAAGATTAAAGAGGCAGAGACAGCAGATGCATACAAAGAAACTGCTGTCACACTCTTATTCGGGAGATAAATTTCCCTTGTTGGTGGGGTGTCCAGGTGTTATTGGAAGATAAAAAAGGTATTCTTTTTCTAATGAAATACTCAAGTTCGTGGTCTCCCTTAGAATATTTTCTGTGTCCATTCACATTATTGATATTGGTTTCATTTTTTACCTTTCATCCCTTTTAAATAATTTCCTGTCACCAAGAAGTTGTCACATTTACAGTACTTTTATAAAGCTAACTCTGTAAAGTAGAAAGATCATGAAAAGAGGTGGGGTATTTGGGGACAAAACATAGATTATTCAGTTTTCCTCTGTCCGGTAAAGACTTTAAGATTCATGCTCAAAAAGTGGCTAAATTCAATCCTTCAGTGGTAGACAACTAAGCTTTCTTCAGTTTAATCTTTCATTAGCTATGACAGTGACTCTGAACCCTGAAATGCCATGCTATTCAGGACTCAAAGGAATACAGGAATGCAGGCCTTATCTGTCATACATATTAATATGCACACCGTATCTTAACTGTATGCTAATCTTGGCAAGTGGAAATTCCTTGAAGGTTCTGAATACTCGCTACAATACAGTTCCTGGGAAGGATGGAAGTAGTTCACTTTCTGAAGATACATACATAGTCTGTTTCTATTTGGCAGTTTATCTGTAGACACTGAGGTCACACGTATAGTTGCTGTCCTGTTAGCAATTTACTGTAGAAGTCAAGAGTGTATTGGAAATCTGCAGGGTATTAGGGTCATATTTCACTTAAGTGAGAATTAATACATTCACAGTTACTAGAAGTTACCTGCATGGTTATGCTGGCAACTAGTTTCCACAGCTCTTACTCATCCAATACAAAATTTGCTGAGTTTCATACGAGGATCGTCAAACACTGCAAGGTCTCAAGGACTCATAGTTGATAAAAGAGAAAAACTATGTGGCATCCCCATATTTCTTGTGTTCATTTGATTGGACTGTTTACTTGCCTATTCGAAATCTACAATACCTGTGTATCAGAATATGTCATTGGGTTGTCACCTGCATGCAGAATCCTAATGCTATAGGAAAAAGGTTCATAAAGATGAGCAAAAATGGTCCATATTATTTAGCTTAATTCACCACCTTTTGTTTCATAAATAAAATGTCATCAGAAGAAAATAATAATACTGTTTCCTGAAAGCTAATAGAACACAATCATTACCCACAAATCTAACATCAAAAATACTTTCTAAAATTTCAACCGATCTACAAAAATGTTGCTAGGATGAAAACGTTCTGTCATCGCTGAATATCAATAATGCTTGTGACGGGTGACAGCTTATTCTCAGTAGAAACAGGATTTAGTCATAGAATAACCCCTTCTGATGTTTTAAAATTATTCTGTCATACAGCGAAGACCAGTAGTGGCAAATCTAATCACACCAGACTGAATTCAGTGACGTCCTTGCACACAAATGGCTTTTGGATCCCTAGTATCTTTAACTTACATAGTTAAGCAAGTGTTTGCCAAACCAAATTGACTGAATAAAGTCAGGGGTGATGCTTTAAATCAGTCATTTCTGACACTATGTGTATTACCTTTGCAGAGTGAAATTTTACTCATTTACTGTAAGTAAAATAATGTTAATACAAGAAAAAAATTATAGCAAAGTTAAAATCTGAATTTAATTAACCAAATTGGCTTCTCACATTTTAATTCTGTAATATTTGTAGAAAGCAATAAGTGCCAAAATTCACATTAAAATAACAGTTATTGATGTTATTAAGAGAGTAAAGATAGTTTTCTTCAAAGATTATGACCCTAGGGGCTAGAGCGATGGCTCAGTGGTTAAGAGCACTGGCTGCTCTTGCAGAGGACCTGGGTTCAATGCCCAGCACCCACATGATGGCTAACAACCATCTGTATCTCCAGTTCCAGGGGATCTGACACCCTTTTCTGACCTCTATGGGCCTGGAGTGACACAGGTACACTTATATACATGTAGGCAATACACTCATACACAGAAAAATTTTTTTAAAAATAATAAAAATATTATGACCCTCCATGGTTGTTCATGATCTGCTTAGATCTAGACATCAGAGGCTTTCTGAGGAACTGGCACTTATGATCCGGGACCATATCTTGTTCATTTTTGGGCCTTTGGCACCAAAATCAAGTGTATAACCCATAATAAATCTAGTTGGTTGGTTCATTGACTCTTTTTACTGCTAACCATGTGCCTATAATTATGAGTCATTCTCTTTCCTCTGTGTTGTTTATTCTATTTATTTGCCACAGTATATGAAATGTGTTTATTATCTACAGTAAATGTTTGCTTTATAGTAGATGGAAACGTATTGGCTTATATTACATAATAAATCACTCCTTTTGTTTGCTCGGTTACAGTGGGAGTATTTTTCTTTCAGTAATAATTTCATAGGCTATTTACCAGTAGATGTAAATCAACCCTCTTACCAGACCGTATCTGGCCGCTGCTTTCGTGATTTGTTTTGTATTTCCAGGAGCCCCTTCTCCATGACTTTTGAATACACTCTAGGGCTGTGTCCACAAAGTGGAGCAGCTGTGCCAGGACTTAATTTTCACATCTGTAATTAAGTGATCCTATGGCTAGACTTTTCCCAAAGATTCATTGACCAGTTCACGTGTTTGTCTTCCAACATACCTGTTTTCTAACAGTCTTTTGATGTCCATGATTTGTAGTACTAATTGCCTTATTGGCCCATTATCCAAAATTAAGTGCAGTCTTCTAGTCTTGGCCTGTTGACATACAGGGGAAATAATAACAGTTTCTATAATAATTGAAACTTATGTTCAATTTTCTTTTTTAGTAACTATGTATTTTTTAAATTTTATGTATTATTTTTATTTTATGTGTATGTGTGTATTGCCTACATGTAGGTAAGTGCACCCATGTTGTGCAATGCCTGCAGAGGACAGAAGAGGCTGTTGGATCCCCTGGAACTGGAGTTACAGACAGTTGCTAGCTGCCATATGGGTGCTGAGATTCGAACGCAGGTCTTCTGCAAGAACAGTCAGTGTTCTTAACTGCTGAGCCATCTCTCCAGCCCTTTGGTAACTATGCATTATTGACAATACTTATTAAGCACTAATAGGATTAACCTGGCTCAAACTCACCAAGAGATTCTATATATTTTTTAGCAAGTGCCTCCAGAGGAGATTTATAATTAACCAAGTTTGGGGACCACTGACCTACCTAATTCATCATACTACTCTCTCCTCCTCCTCCTCCCCTTCCTCCTCCTGCTCCTCCCCTTCCTCCTCCTCCTCCTCCTCCTCCTTCTCCTTCTCCCCCTCCTCTCTCCCTCTCTCTTCCTTTCTTTCTCTCCTTCTCTTTGTCTCTCTCCTCTCTCTGGGTTTTGGGGACAGTTTCACTGTGTAGCTCAGGCTGGCTTTGAATTCACGGGTGATCCTCTTGCCTTAGCCGCCTCCCTGGTATATATAGGCAAGCAGTACCATTCCTGGCTACACCAGTTTCTCCCTGTTGATGACATTACTCTGTCCTGAATTACTATGACAATCCTCTGTGCCATGGAAGGCATTGCTTTAGTTTTTTATTGAGGCACTTTTGTTTGGACTCTTAACTGAGAGGATTCAAACTCCAAACACTTTTTCTTTTGACTTGTCATTCAGCCATCAGTCAGAGCTCTAAGCATAAAAATTTTCCATGAAGACCCAGTGTGTCTTTTTCCTACATCGGAATTAGCTATTGAATCATTTATTGGTTATTCTGCTGAGTTTGAGTTCCAAAGGGTATACTTTCCATGCTGTACATTTCCAAATGTTAATAGTATGCAAATGTGACCAGATGAGACCTTCACTGCTGACATTTCACAATATGGAAGGAGTGGAAAGTATTCAGATGATTAGTCTCTTTCCTTTTTTCTGTTTATTTGTCTCTAGATAGAATCATGATTAGGAAGATTGCATATTCAGTCTCTGTGTCTTCCACATAAGATTTAAATTATCTCTTTTTCAATACGCTGTAGCAAAATTACGCTGCTCATTTCCACTGTGGTCATCAATACCCTGCTTATCAAACAGCAAAGGCCAAGAGAGCCATATCTATCTGTACTGAAATCTAGGAAAATTAGGAAGATTAAAGATTAGTCCAGGTCTAGCGGTCTGGCACAGGCCACTCCCTGACTTCCATTTGTCTCTAGTTTTTATCTTCTTCCTGTCACATTTCCATCTCTGTGTTTTCATCTCATACATAGATTTTATGAACAATTTCCATTTTCCCCTGCCTTGTGCAGTTTTTATGAATGACTTGAACCTAAAGATGCACTTTTCTTTGCAAACAAGAAAACAAAACAAAAATCTCCTGCCGTAAGTAATCACCTCCAAATCTTCACTTGTTAAGCCCACATATTATTTCCCTGTGGAAATGACTACATTCCACACAACCTACATGAGAAGTTGCTTACAACCGTTCCAAGCAAGCAGTAACACCCATCTAGAATTGCACTCATCCACCAAGTTAGGATCTCTGGCCCATAGGACTTTATATGCGTTCTTCATTTCACCCGGTGACCTTCAACCTCAGACACTCCAAAGTGCCAAGCGTTTACCCCAGATATTGCAACCCTGTGCCTTTGACAAAAGTATGAGAACTTGGTGCAAAAGGTGGTGATCTGGGGCAGTCAGCTGTACCTGAAAACAGGGATTTCCCTTCTTCATGCCCACTTGACTGAAATTCTATCAGATACTCAGAGTGATAAAATATTATATTGGAAACACACGGCGTCTAGGACTTTGTCCAACAATGTGGGGAAAAAATAGCAAGCTTAATATTTCATGGGGAATTCTTGGCTTAAACAATATTTTAATAAAGCTTAGCTATGCATGCCAATAAAACAGAGA